CAGTAATATAAAAAAGGGAAAAGTCAACAGTTACATCAGCATTCAAACCCTTTGCTGTGGCAAATCTAAATTACCTTAATGAGCCACCAAAAAAGCTACAGGTATGTGGCCCCTGTTTGTGTTTGTGTGCAATAACAGTGGTTCACACTGTGTCTGTAAGGTTTCACAGTCAGGTAGTCTTCTCCTCTATACTCCATTTTCTGTTTACTAAACGTATTGCACTTGTTTCAATCATTTATTCTCATCCTCTTGTCTTTTCCAGGTTTTCTATATTCAACAGAATGGACTGTATCCAGACTGGTCACTACAGCACATTAACATTTACTGAGGAAGAGGTTAATACAGACACTCACTGGCCACGGCTGGATGTCCATACTGCACTAGAACAGATGGGTTAATGCAGATACAATGACTGGACACTGCATAACATCATTCAACAGACTGGACTGCATCCAAACTGTACACTACAGCATATACTGTAAATGAAAAAATAAATATTAATTTTAATACAGTATACACTGATTGGGTGCAGCAGTAGATGAACATGACACTCAATGACAGGGGTGAGAGAGACAAACTGACTACATTACATTAACACAGCACTGAGAGAAGATTTAATGACAGATTGGTTACTGCCAGGTTAATGTCAGGTAGTGTTAGCATAAACCGTCAGGATGTACAGTATTGGTTTACTGTAGTGAAGGGTTCACAAAGTAAAATTCTGAAATCTTGCCAGCAAGGTGAAGTTTTAAGATGTATAGCACAATGCAGTGTTTGCAACAAGGGAAGGAGGCATTGATCTGTTTCATTTAACACTATGACTCTAGGTTACACAGACTGAAATACATTATATCCATACAGTATATTCAGGATGTTAGTTTCCACTGTTAGCCAATACTTCATATTTAGTTTGTTTCAATGTATTAGTTCCGCAATAGTTCGTTAAACATCTATTATGAGGGGGAAAATGAAAAAAATAGATAATAGGCCGACAGCATATGAGTGTTTTTGTTAGAGAACAATAATAACTCCCCATAGGTCTAAAGCTAATGTGTCTAATTGCTTTCTGTTAAAACTGCCTGGTATATTTCAAATCAAGGATAACAGAAACTACTGATGGCTGCTTAAAGGCAAACAATACTCTTCCTCCTACAGTACATTACAACTCCATCCATCCATTATCTAACTGCTTTAACCAATAGAGGGTTCTGGGGAGATGGAGCCTAACACAGCAAGCAGCAGATGCAAGGCCAGATACACCCTGTTTGAGATGCCAGTCCACTGCAGGACACACTCACACACAAGTTTCCCAGGAGCTGATTAACCTACCAGTATGTCTTTAGACTGAGAGGAAACTGGAGCACCCGGAGGAAACCCAAGCAAACACAGGGAGAACATACTGTACAAACTCCACACAGACTGCACTCCCAGGCCCAGAATTGAACCCAGGACCGCAGAGCTATGGGGCAGCAATGCTAACCACTGTTACACCGATATACCCTTAACGTATTTCATATTCTACCATAATTATTACTTCTGTCTGCTCATCTATGTACAATTCCCATTTAAATAAATTGCATTTAAAACAAGGAAGAAAATCTGACCTATATTTTTATATTTGTGTTACAGGCTCCTGATTACTGGAAAAGCTCAGAGATGGGCACACTGGCACAGCATACTCCAGCAGGACCCAGCCAGGCTGCACCTCAAGTGACAGGAGTAGTCATTTTGCATGTCTGCTTCCTAGAACATTGGATATCTCTTTAAACAAAAACACAGAACAATAATTTGGAATGTAAAGGTGAAGGCAATATGTTAGAATACAGTAATTGCAGGCAGCAGGAGGGAATTCAAAAGAAACTCCCTGGCACCGCTGGGTAATGACCAGGGTGGGTGGATTATTTTAGTTGATTATCCTGAACTATGAGGCACTATGATTTTTTTAGAGTACTGTACATTACAGCATTCAGACCTACTGTATGGCTAGCACCAGATGTATTTTACTCTCGGTTTTGAGTGCATTTCCTGATGTAAAAAACGCTTTAGCTGACAAAAAATGAAATATTAAAGGATATACAGTATAATATAAAGCACACAATGCAGGCTAGCCAAGGAAACATATTACTCTTTGCATTGATAAATGTTTTTTTAAGGACCAAGATCTTGGAAATTAATGTTCCCAGCACTGTTTTGACAAATACATTTTCTTCTGATTAATTAGATTAATAGATTATGAACAGAAAATAGAAAGAAAAATACAGTGTCCCTCTTATTAAGAGAACACCTTTGTGGCAGTGGTGTGTTGGAGGAAGGAACGAGGTGGGCTCAACGGCTGAGAAGCAAGGTCTTTTTGAGCAATGGATCATGTTTTTGTGCAGACCAGCCTGCTGGATATCGGCAAGTGTGGCACAGGCGTGCAGAAAGAACTATTTGTTGTTTACAAGAGATCAATCCATGTGAAGCAGAAGCATGATGCTCCGTCTGGGCAGGAATGTCTTGTCGCTACAACACTGCCCGGTGCTGCATTGATCTAGTACTGGACCTCACTACCCTCCCTATGGGTTCATCCTGACCTGACAACATTGCAGCCCATAAACACAATGTCAGGACACCTGAAAAGACATTTTTCTGAAAATGACTTAATTTGTTGCAGTTATGAGTTTCTTTTGATGCTTACTATACATACTTACAATTGTATAAACATTGAATTGAAAAATAATCGTATAAACTATGTACCTTTCTGAAAGTTGTTGTTAGGGATTCTATGTGCCTTTACCCTCACATTTAATAGACCTGTAGTTAAACAAACACAGTAACGACTTTTGTTATCACCTGAGGTGAAACGTTCGATATTCTAAATCAAATTATGCATTATATGTTAAGTACAAAGTATTATATTTGAAATCAACTTATATAAACGTTTATACAAAAGAAAACCATGCAATAATAAAATGTTTAAAAGATAATAGATATTTCGGACGGTATTTAAATGTATATTTACAGCTAATTAAAGCTTGGCTATCACTTTAGGAATAATATTCCATTCACAGACAATATACAGGAGTTTTTTGTTTTGCTTTAAACCAATACAGAAACAACATTAACGTGTTATCGTTTTGTCATTTTACAAAATAAAAAAGTAATCTCATGGTTTAATTGAAATAACGTGCGTTTGTGCGTCCCACAGATAATACATGATTTGTTAATAACCAAGCTGCGAGCAGTTTTTCGTTGCCATGGAAAAATGGAATAAATGCAATAATTCACCATTTTAACCTTTAAAATCGAATCACGTGAACACATTTCCTGTTAACATATTGCACTCAAAGCACTTACTGTAAGTTCCACGTCTCCGCTGTGCTCTCCACCGTCTTCAAGTGTCTTTTCAGACAAGCGGAAAATCACCGCCTACTGGTAAAACGTATTAATGCATCTACATTGATAATACAATGCATTAGGGGTATACTAGAATAGGATAAGATTCATAAGACTCATATTGCATGGTTCGTTCGGTACACTGATTTGATAACTCTTAACTTCAGGTTATATTTAGAAAATTATTTGTCGTGCTGTGTGTAATACCTTTAAAAAAATCTAAGGGCAACTGCGTGGAGTATTGATTAGAACTCTAGGTTCAAATTTCTATTTCTCTCTGACTGCTTAAGTAAATGCACTGCTGTATAAATAGGTATTTACTGCCTACATTGTTGCTGTAAATAAGAATCATTGCTGTAATTAAGAACCTTTGTGCTTAATCCACTTATCTGGTTAAACAAAGGATAAAATCAAATAATCTTGTACCGATTCAATTAGAATACCTATAGATAAACCATTTTCACAGATCTAAACATTTTAACATTAAGGATTTTCTATGCAAAACAAATTTGTATTTATTAATCTAATGCATTGCAATGATGGACCACAATCTCACAGTAACTGCGCATCTTAATAAACACAATGGCAGCAACATTTTCCTTGGCTGTTTCCCTCCCAGTAATGGGGAAAACTCAAATTTGTTGTCTTGGAAAGGTGACACGTTCCGGCAGCAGCTCTGGGGCCCTGGGTTCAATTCCCGGGGTGCTACTGTATCTGGGTGGAGTTTGTATGCTCTCCATGTGTTCACATGGGTTTCCTCCCACAGTCCAGACATACTGATAGGTTGCAAAGGAACAAGCAATAGGTTTATTCCGTGCTGAAAAGATCTGCTGAATGTGCTGCCACCCATCCACTCCCTAACCACTACATCCAATTCAGGGTCGTGGAGGAGCAGCAATCCCAGCAGGCAACGGGGCACAAGACAGGATAGAATCTGAATGGGAATCCAGTCCATTACAGAGCACACACAGACGGACACGCATGCGCTCACACTAGCACAAGAGCCACTTTTCTTGGAAGCCACCTAACCTACCAGTAAAACAAATGTGTATTTATCAAACTAATGCATTTCAACCGTTGGCCACAATCTCACAGTGACTGATAAGAGTATATGGACTGACTGATCAGAATAAAGATCCAAGGTAAAGGGATTATATAGTTTTATTGGCCTTAATCAGGCCAAGAATGACATCACTTTCTAGAAATCCACAGTATTACCCGCCCTTCTGTACGACTGAATAACTTTCATTCAGCTTTGAAACTTTGAGAAAATGTTTTGACTGGAGTGTCTGATCAAAGATAACTTTTCTTCCCTGCAGAGTCTCTCTCCTTTTGCTTGCTAGATTAGGCTCTTCAGGGGAATTCCAAGCCCTAACAATCAGTTGCAAACTAAATTAGCATTTATATTGAGAATGAATACTTTTTTTTAATTCCTACAATATCTGGAAGGTCATGCTCCAAGAAATGTTTGTAATTTCAGACTTCGCAACTCATGATACTCTAAAACAGGTCTTTTAAATGTGCAATCCTACAGTTGTTCTGAAATTCATACTAGATTTAACCAAAATACTGCAGTATCTCTAGAATACAGTACTGCTAAATAGGTAAAAGAAAACACTTAAACCTTTTTTTATTTTGTAACTTTTATTGAACACAAGTATTTCTGACAGAATGCAAAGTCAAAATTTTTCGGTTAGTACTCAGTATTTACACCAGTGACAGTGGAAAGAAAGGTGGTACCAATGTTTCACTCAGTAAAAAGTTGTATACAAGAGAGAAGGCCCCCAAAGCAGGGAATGCTGGGTAGGAATGACAATGGAGGTTTCTTGGAAATTTGACATGGTCCTCTTAAAGGGATGAGGCACCTGTCCTTTTCTATATATTTATACATAAAAAAGACTCACTTAGACTAATTGTTAAGACTAACATTTGGCTTTCCATTATGAGATTAAGATTTTATTCCTTCAAATTCATAGACTTCAATTTTGTCAGTCAACAAATTCATGGCACAATATGCAAGTTCAAAGGCTTGTGTAAACTCGCAAAAACTTGGTCCCATATTAATGGCATTTGAACAAAACATGAGAAATAACTTCTGGCTCATATGAATACGGAACTTAACTGATGTAATGATATACGCTTGTATATATACAGTATATAGAGAGATTTGGATTTTGCATTGTTAGGAATGGTATGGAATCATATCAAAAGAAATCATAAGACCTTTCCTCACCGTCGCCCATTTTATAGCAAAGTAAGCCTGCATTGCTGAGCTGAAGTGCATGATGCCTCTTATGTAAAAATGTATGCAAGAGGCTACAGCAAGTAACATTTAAAAAAACTGACTAACAAGACAAGCTTCAAAGGCCTTTTTATCTTGGAGCATTATAAAGTCTCAATCTCAACAAAGTGCTGCAGATTTTAATCCAGGACTCAGACCCCAGTCATATAGTTGAGTCAGTAAGAGCACAAATTCTTAACAGATCTTCTTACGAGGACTGGTCTAGGTGATCTACTGTATAATCACTATCCTCTGCAGTACTCCAGAGATGTAAGAGCATATACTGTAGCTGCCAGAAAATTAGTTCAAGCACAACGGGTTAAACAGAATAAGCACTCCAATTCACCATGGTGTTAAGTCTTTTTCAACTCTTAATTTCTCCAAGTGCAGCTCTATCCAGATCTAGCTTTTCTGAATGCTTTTACTTGTGACTTCTCACAAATTTAACTAATTAACAGCAAGCCGGAGATGACCTCTCTAGACCTTGGAAATGTTACTCTGTGAAAAAGCTTCAGTCTGTGTGACAAGTAGGCATAGACAGCAAGCCCTTTTAATGAAAAGAACAAGTTACTGAAGTCGATTACCTCCATTTTCATCCCCAGAGCCTAATATATGCAAAAACACATTGAGCAAAATGACAAGACCAGTATTTTCACAGTTTGAACTTACAAACTAGCGACACCATCAGTTATCGTTACCTTGACTGCACACATAGACACTGAAGTGAAAAGGCCCTACACAGGTCAATATATCAGAACATTGGGCTGCAGTCTTGGACCATCTGTTTCTCCATTACAGGCAAACACTGAAGAAAGTGGAATGCATGCCGCAACAAGAACAATTTCGAAGGCATTTTCTTCCTCGTTTCCCCCTTTTAGTGTTTTTGATGTCTTTTGTTTTCTTAAGGAACAATTTTTTTTCTTAACTATTCTCTAAACCTTTCACAACCAAACTATGTCGATTTTTTTTTCTTTTTTAAATACTATGACAGAGAACACATTTTATTCACACTAGGATATTCACGCATTCACAGTGCACAAGCTTGCAGTCTAAATGAAGAAAAAAAGTTCTCAGAAGTGTACTGTACAAAACAAAATAGGGTTGGTCTACAATTTTAACATGGAAACCCCTATTCCACAGTAGAATGTTATGGTTTAAATAATGAATTAAATCTGGTATTCTTTCTCATATGTATAAAAAGAGACAAAAAATGTCTATTTTCAGATTGCATCTTTGATTGAGTTAAACAATAGCAGATAAAGCTGTAATTATGGATTTTCAGCAAGATTAAAATGGGCACTATTTTCTTTTAATAAATAAGCTTTTCAAATATCAGATCAACTTGTTTTTTTTTAAACAGGCCTTAATGGTGTATTTTTACCCTTACTGTAAACAAAGGCAACCTGTGTTTTTCCTTTCCTCAATCATTGTAAGGGGTCTATTCTCTGCAAAGTTTAAAGCCTGGCTTGATATTATTTTTTTGGATCCTACCTGCATCTCACTGACAGCAAAGCTACTGCCATTAAAGATAACGGACACTAATACCTTGAAGGTTTGTACTGTACCAATACTGCTCCTGACTACAGCACTAAGATGGAAACAGAAGTGTGAAAGCATCCCCTTTCACTTTTTCAGTTGACTTTTCTGTCACAGCTGTTATACTTAGTGTCCTTCTGCTCTTTGAGAGCATTTTTATGGTAGGCTGATTACATGTAAAACCTCCTTGGACCCTCCTGAATTACAGGCAAAATATCAGCATAAGACACAAAATGGAAAGACATGGAGAGAGATGGACAAATGGCAGAATATATATATAATGACACCTGTCTAAATGCAGCCTAATGGTCTGTTTTTAAGTAATTTTTAATTGTTTAAAATGAACCCCTTTCCCCTATTTCTTCTTGACAACTTGTCTATCCCTTTTTTACATAAGAGCCTAGCAAGGTGTTCATAAATGGGAGCTAGCAGAGAATAAAACTGTAAACATACTGTATTTCAAAACTAAAAATAAAACCCTTTGCAAAGCAAGCATGCTAATGATCTAAGCTCTAATGCTAAACCCAAAAACATTATGATAAAAAAATAATAAAATAGAAGGCAGTTACTTTTACACATTTTTAAACACAAGAAAAAAGGGTTAAAACAAACATACCCATAACCCATTAACATTGGAAATAAAAAAATGGCAAAAAAAACCTGCATGAAAAAATGAACACTGCAAATTGATACACACATATATATGTATGTATACAGTATGTAATATATAACAAACCAAACTTTCTCCAATCCTTCATTTAATGATCATCAGAAACAATGAGTAACAATAAAATTCTACGCCTAGAGTAATGGAGTCTGTGCACAACAAGTAAGGACTGTTTCTTTATAAACCAGAATTTCCCATAGTTATCTGATCCAGCTAATGAGGTGACATACTGTACGTTTTCATTTGAAAGACTATCATTCCAGTGCTTTTCTTTCTTAAGCGAAAATTCTACCAAAAGCACTGTTTAAAACCAAGCCATTTGTACCATCTCAGTACCCTACAGCTACACAGTGTACAGTACCAGTTGAAGGATAAGTCTCTTTTCCTTTCTTTCTAAACTTGGGAGAATGAGTGGGGGGAAAAAAGAAATTGCAAGTGCACGAGTTGATTTCTTTCTACAATTCTACGAACAGGAGCATGTTTCTTGTTCTGAAAAATAATAAAAGACACTGAAGAAAAACTTTTTTTTAATTTTTGTTGGATGCTCTTGTGACATTTTGTAGGTCTGTGACTGTGGCGTTTTCCTGTTTATTAGATCATGCTTTACTCTCATTTGCGTTCGTTTGCGTGGCTTCGTTAGGCACCGTCTTCACTTCTGACCCAGTTTTCTTCACCTCTGTTTCCTCCGGTTTACTTTTATCATCTACAGGGACCTTCCTGTGAAGAGACAAATTCATACAGAAACAAGGGTTTTTAAGCAGTTTGAATCCTGAATACTGTGACAGTCCTGTAACACATCTTAAAGTGTATGCTGAATGCATGTTGCATCCCCCAAAAAAAACAATCTCTACCACAAGATTCAACACTCTGCAGAGAAATGTTTGCCTATAATTGTTCACCAAGAAATTAAAAGCAAATCAGGATGTAAAAAAACAACACTCACACAAGTAATGGATTTATGTTAAATGACATAAAAGTAAAGTACATCCAAGACACGCCTTTACTGACATCCTACACCTAATCTACGCTGATAGGCTTGGACAGAGAAGACTATGAGAGGACCTGCAAATTTCAAAAAAATAAACAATAATATACCAATCTGGGCATAAGTGGAAGCTATAATACATGGAAGTACTTGTAAAAATTAGAACAACAGGCATTTCATGCTCCAAAGCATTGTGGAAATAGGGAACAAGACACCCAGCAATGTTACTGAAACTAATATCCTTGTTTCTTTAAAAAAAATGTCTGCTTGAGATCCTTGGATCAATTAACTACTACTAAATGGGTTAGATGGGCCTAAAAGCCTCCTTTCATTTGTAAAGAGTATTAGATTCTTATATAGATGGTAGCTGCAATGTCCGATGGAGGGCCGTCTGAGCAAAGAATGCTAGGAGGGAAAACAGTTGTTTTTATACCTAAGTGGGCAAGTGATTTGTAGAAGCTGGGGTACTACCCCTCTCCTGACCTTTTGTTATTAAAATCAAAAATGATAAAATTGCTGCCTGCCCATTTCTAGACCTTTTCAGGGGTCTGAGTTGTTCTTAAAGGGCAGACTATGTTCACAGAGTTCTACAGTAGCAGAGGAAGGACTGTAGTGTGTTGTGCATTGAAACACACACAAACTGCAGTACATAACGCATCCATTCGGTCTTAAAGTAACAAAAGCATTTTTTACTTTAAATATTACACCTCTTTGTAAACAAAGATCTAAAGACTTAAGGCATGGTAATCAGATGGAACAGTTTTGACTGATGAAACTGGTAAATGATAATACTTGTGTGGCACCCTATATTTAGTTCACACTTATTTGAGAGTCTGAGGCATTTATTTTCTGTGATTAAAAAATAGAGGTAAAGGCAATACCTGGATCACTAACCATAGCTGAGGATGGGTAGCACTTTTAGACTATACTTTTTAAACCCATTTCCAAAAAATCTGAAATAGTGTAACTGATGTAGAAATATCTCATTAGAGATCCTACTTTCTTGTGTATCCACGTCCATGTTCCGATGTGAGATTTTAGGATATCCATAAACACAGCTCTAAAAGCTGTACGCTGCAAGTCATTTTGCAACCCTGCAGTGCTCCTTCAGAGAGATGCGGATTTTCCTAACCACAAATCCTATGAAGAACCAAAAGACGTCATGTGCTCAGAAAGGCCACGTTTTGTTTCTGCTCTGCACACCACAATACTTGCACAATCAGGTTTTTTTCTCATTAGTAGCATCTTGGAAGTGTCTGGCTCCATGCTCACAGTTTTCATTCGATTCATCCTTCTATCATTCCATTTTATGAGACACTTCAACTCGTTTACTGCATGACCATAGCCGAGGCTTTCTGAATTTAAGACCTGAGGAAATGGTGGAAAAGTGCCATGGAACCTGAGCACCTGTGTTTTATGAGGACATGCTTAATAAAAACCTGCTTACTTCACAGGTAATCACTATGGCAGATAGTAATCACAACAGTAGGGAGTCTATCAAAGATAAAGGATAAGCACATCAGTAAAATGCTGACCTTGATCCTCTGCAGAAAAATGTTATGTCTTAGTGATCTCTGCATCGCCTGTTCTTATGCCTGAATTTCAGAGATCTAAATTGCTTGGCTGATGAAGGATGCTGATATGGAAGCAAACAGCTGATAAGCTGAAGCGGTGCCATACAGTACAAATGTCTTACAATACATCTCACATGAGACAGCTTGTTCAATTCTGCTTTGGTGGCATGCTGGGGGATCCCCCCCTTCATCTTATTTGAATTACTTTTCGGGTGAAGAAGAAGCGGTCTTCTTTATTTCCTAACGAGATTCTCACTTTTGTCATACTGATCATTAGCGGAATCTCCTCAACGTGGCCAAACAGCATTACTTCTTCAATGAAACAGGTTATACTATTCAGAAAAGCTGGCTGTCGTGTCTAAAAAACATACCCGACAATCAACGCTACACACCTCTTTTAGTTCTCCTATCTGTTAGTGCGACCTCATAAAATCTGTCCACAGTGAACTTTATAAAGCTGTCGAGTACTCATTTTAGCCATTATGTAATTATCCTTTTGGAGGCTCTATCATGGTGTCTTCTGCTGGCAGAAATAAAATGGAAACAAAAGCACTAGACAAAGAAAAGGGCTGTTGCCTTGGTGTCAATGATTAAAGGGGATGCAGCACAGTACTTCACCAGGATCCCATTCTCTTGGTGATAGGATTCACTTTCCACGCAGGGAAAGAGGCACAAGAGCCAAGGTGCTTGATGTGAGACGTGACAGGAAGACAATGACTGCAGAAAAAGAGGCACTGCAGTACAATCCATTTACTTGCAGAAAAGAGAGGGAAACAATACATCTTTTGCAAATACAAAAAGAAGGCCTTGTTCTTCCATTGAAAGCTGAACTAAAATGTCCTAGGGCCTGATAAAACTGGCTCTAGTAATTACCAGTCCTCACCAACACAGTCATCAGTGCCTGGTAGAGACACTTACAGTAAATGTATCAAGCTTATGCAACATTTCAAAGCTGATTTACTTCCCTTCAGAATCATCTTTGATTTCCTTTCTCGTCTTCTCTATATTTTTACTTCCAATGTTTTACAAGCCTTTCCTGCCTAATCAGCAATAAATGGCAATATTATGCCTCCCCAAAACATTTTGACTGCTGTCCCTTTGTTCCCCTGAAAAAAATAAATAGAATCCCTGCAAATAATCCTTATTTCACTGTACGTGACTGTAGTAAATCCTGTGTATCTAGTATTTTGTGCATTTTGTTTACATAAAGTGTAAGCCACAGCATGTTGGCAAAGTATGAAACATGTCAGGAGGGTAGAATACCTACAGTATATACTGTATATGAAATTTGATGTGTGTGCAGAAGGTTGTTCTGTGTGGTGTGGTTGATTCTTACAAACAGCACTTTGAAATAAACGTCAAATTATATTTTCTGCAAAAAATACTAGGATAGGTTACTGTCACATTTTTCTCCCCCCCCCCCAAGTCAGTTCTGCTCTGCTTTAACACTGGCACTATTGCAAAGCTGGTCGATAAATATTTTTATCAGGTTTTTTTGGTGGGTGTTAAAAAACGGGGAACACACACGGCTTATACTTTCATTTATATTTGAATGCTGGTGAAATTTAATTACTATTTTGCAAAAATATTTTTACAGTATAAAAAAATAAAAATTACTTATTGTTTCCCTGGGTTTCAGAGAACGGTAACAAAGGGTAGCTAAATGGTTGAATGCTAAGATCAATCATAAAGGAATTCATCAAAGCTGTAAATCCTTAGCACAGTCCTTGTCAGAACTGTCAAGTTCTACTGCACTCTCTGCCAGGAATCTCTGTATCCAATACTGTTTTGCCAAGTAATATTAATAATGTCACATTATCATCCTCTGAAATCTGGTCACGTCCAAAGGCGTGTTCATTTCCTCTTTCTGTTTGGATCATTTCTGAATGTGCCAACTTTACATTGCAAGACAGAGAACATAATTTGATTCATTAAGCACGGATGTGCGTGAGGAAATCCCTTTTATAATGTTTTCTATCAGTCTCGGGGCGGTGTCAGTATCTGTGATAACACTTCAAAAATCCATTTGATGCTTCTTAGAATACATTTCAGTAAAAAGGATTTCTAATGCCTTGATATTTTATTTAGTCATGCTGAGAAAATATTTATCTGGTTGAATGAAAACATTATACGGTAATGCCTGCTTCCAGGCATATCTTCTATCTAAATCTCTGTTTTTATTGGGAAAAAAAGTAACTTGGAAACAAGTCTGAATGAATAGTAGCTCAAGGGATACAACACTTAGAAAAAATGGGAAACATGAACATTTACAGACAAATGTGATTGTTTAGACACACACCAATTAAAAATTAAAGATAATCTTGTTATAAGAGCATTCTGGGAAACTTTAAAGTTGCATTACAAGAAGAGCAACCTAATTAATTCTAGTCCTCAAGGTTAAAGGAGCTCTTTAGTCTGAGCAAAGAAAACTGTAAAAAAAATGTTTCAAATATGTTTTAAAAATACTAGATAACTCAATGGACTTCTTACACATCGACAGTGTGACTAGTGGTTCTTAAAACTAAGGGGAAGTGAATTTTAAATTGAGAAAAAAAGCACATCTTTACACATAGGGTTGTAGGAGCCACTTGACTAACTCTGGGGGGCAATGTTAACCTGTGAGATGCCAAGAAATACTGTAAGCTTAATTCCCAGATAAAAAAATAAAAGAAAATTAGGAAAATGATAAACATTTAAGGAGTGGAGTTTTCTTCTCACGGATGCACACACCCCTGTTCAGAGGCTTCATAACTGAAATGCCTTATTTCTAATTCCATTTTACTTTTCAGCTTGAAACTAACTGGTGCTTGTTTCTTTGCGGCTGTACCCCAGGCTGCGTTGCTGTGATCTGGATGGCTTTTCTGTGAGCACAAAGCTATTGGTAAGCTATCACTAGCCACTACATTTTGCACCGCTACCTACAGAGAAATACATTTGTAAATATCTAAGATTTATATGGTGGGGTGCCAAGTTATTCACTTTTTAAATGCGATATTTCGGATAGAAAAAATAAAGGGCAACTAAGAAGTGCAAACCACAAACTTCCTTTGGCAGATCTGCCACAAAAAAAAAAAATCCCGCGGCACTTTCAAAGTGGAAAAAACGTACAGAATGTAGTCTGGAATAACATATTTCATCTCTGTGATTTTTGGTCATCAGGAATAGAGGATGTTTAGGATGTAGTTATTACTTAAGTATCAGGGGAAACAAACAGCTGCTGGTGTGTCGCATTGCCGTTACTCGAGTATTAGAGACTCCCTCGGCCCTGGGACTAGTTTTCATGCTCAAGCAGAGGTGTTAGTGGAAGAAAGCGCGGTCACAACCTAGGACACACACACACACCAGAGTGGACAAGACACCAGGCAAGGCAACACAAACAACGCCACAAAAGGCACAACCCACACACAACGAAAGTCTAGGAGAAGCCATACTCGTCCTGGGCCGGAGCAGGCGGTACAGCGGAGTCTGCAGGGGCTGCAGCAGGCTCAGCAGTCTGCTTGCCAGCCACAGCGGGAGGAGAAGCAGAGCCCAGAGCAGCGAAAACATCCTTCGCAAGATCAATGCCCGAGGTCTTGAAGGGTCCTCCGTCAATTTGAAAGTCCTGGTTTGCCGCGCTGTCCGTGACAGCGGGACTCTTCGGGCTCGCGGGGTTTGCGACGGCCTCGGCGGGGCTCTTCGCCACGCTGGTCTGCGCCCCCTCGTTCCCGGGGCCCTTTGCGGCTTCGGGCTGCGGAGGCTCAGAGGCGGGGGGCGGGGCAGCCGGGGCGGTGGGCACGCTGGGAGCTTTAGGAGCGTCCGCAGCGCTGCCAGGGCCGCCCGGCGCGGGGGCGTCACTGAGGTCGACCAGAGGGGCCACCTGGGGGGCAGCATCGGAGGCGGCGGCGGCGGGGGGCAGGGCGGGGGTGGCGACGCCTGCTTTGGGCGTGCTTGCCTGCTGGATGGGGGCAGGTTTGGGGTCTGCGGCTGGGGCAGTTGTGCTGGAGGTGAGGGTGGTGGTCTCACTAGTGGGGCTGTTTTGGGCCGTGGCGAAGGTTTCAGTGACAGTGTCAGAGTTAGTGGCAACAGAAGGGAGCATGTCCTCGACAGTAGCTGTGGTATCAGCGGGGTGCCTGTGAGGATAAGGAGTAAAAGAGAAAAAAAAAAGACAATATAGCAGCAGTGACAGGAGGAAATAAAAAGAGAAGGAGTGTTTCAAAGGCACGAGCATACATGGTGAGGGGGTGCAGCATGCAGTTATAAAAGCACAGAAGTAAAGCCCGAGAAGGTGAGCCAACCGAGTTTTCGGTCAACGGCTGTAGAAATAAAATGATCGCAAAGGCAGAGCAAGGGGGTTTTGCTTGCTTAGATCCAGGGAGCAGAAATAAACAGGGTTAGGTGCAGCCACAAACAAACTGCCAACGCAAACTGGGCATTTCTCTTTCTTTTACGGCAAACGTAGCAATCCTTATGTTGCTACTTCACTAAATATCTCTTGTGTATGATTATTGACAAAGCAATTCCTTGCTACGATTCGCAATGCTTCCAACAGAATGAAGAAGTGAAATTGCATCCTGGAACTGAAGAGGAATCTTTCTTCCTTTAGATATCGTGGCTTAAGGGACCTTTCTCACTTCTCCAGGAGGAAATAAAAGACTAATTTAACTCTCAAAACTCCCAGTCTATTTTGCTGTTTCTCATTATATACTTGTTTTTGAAAAATAAGATGGAATGAGATTCCTGTACTGGAATGTTATATTTAGATTTCTGTTGTTTGATGGAAGCTGCTATTCTCTTTCTGTAAAAAAAGGGTGATATTTCTCCTTCCTACTAAGACAGCATCACAAGTTGAGGTTTTTGAATTCATGTGTCTGTTGACAGTCTATATGTCTGTGACTGTTAACTTCCGTGATGACAGTTGCTCTGTGGGCTACACACTGATAGGTATGTTGATAAGGGACAAGGGTGGGTGACACTCATGATATTATAGCTGCTTCACAAAGATTCACAACCCACAAATGAACAGCAAACGAAAACGAGGAACTACAGGTGCCAAGGCACTCGGTAGTAACACAGGTAACTCAGTTTTACTGCTAACATTCAGCTGTAATTTCCTGGTATGGCTTTCACCTGGTGGAACAGAATATTAACCCCTCTTCAGTTTCACTTACCAGCAGTTTTTGCTTTAATTTAGCATCTCTAATCATAATATTTTGTTCAGTTTGCTCAATTTAGAATTAACAACTGTGTATTTCTTCAGGCTTAGTTCACGGCTAAGATCCCTGCCATCCAGGGGAGCACAGCAGACGTGCCCACTTTCAAGACGTTTTTTTTCTTAGACGCGCCACAAGTAACACAGCCCCACCCTGGGGGCTCGTTGTCAGCCGGAGGAGAGGTGCGTCTTTCAGCAACAGCGCTCTGTGCCTGGAAAGGGGTGTTCGCTAAGAGCTGAGAGAGCGCTGGGTTATTTATCGCACCCATCCCTCGACAACACCACCTTGGGGGAATCCCAGTCACAGTCAGTGACGAGACGCAGAATTGAGCCTGTGATTTTACAGCTCCACCTGTGCTCACACAAGTGCCTTTACTGGCTGAGCCCCTCAAGAGGGGCTTTTGATATCACTCTGTCCTTATTAATGGGCTCACATTAACAGGACTGAGCATTCGACTGGCCTCTTACCCCCTGCACCCATAAATTCTATCTCGTCTTCCCTAATTCTGGATGAAAAAGACGATCTTACACTTTCATTTGAAACCTACAAATTAAATCTGATTATATTGCAGTGGGCAGGTTAAACCTCGTGATGATGTGCAGAATGCCAATAGGGTCCAGTGGTTGTGAGCCACTTGACTGACTCCACAGGAAATCACAAGATTTCCAGGAACAACAAGACCACAAGAACAACAACCTCTTTGGAAGCCGTCCGGTTTTTCTCTAGCTGTTCTAATAGCCCTTTTCCACTGGCACTCCCAAGTCACGCAAGCCCGCTGTGGTACAGCTCCAGATGAGTTTTCCACTGGCTGTTTTGGTGTCAGCCAAGTGTGTACCAGCCTCTAAAACTCCAGCCCAGCCACCTGAGTACTGCTGAGTCGCAAGGCCAGGGGGCAGTGATGAAGCATGTTGCTTCTAGAAAAAAAGAGGGGAGGTACCGGGTGGAGTTGAGGAATAGTCCTGGGCTGCTGAAGAACTGCAGGCTCTTCATCCAGAAGGTTTCGGAACTCAGAAAACGGTGTATGAGCGAATGCATTTGGATTTCACAAGTAAAGGGCACATTTCTGCCACTTCTGAGAAGATGGAAGCTGGTGCTCTTTCCTACTTTTCTCTCCTATAACTCTCCACATGCTCTGCATGTGACATCAGGCCTTGCACTTTGGTCCCAACCTGCACTGGACATCTGCGGAGAGTTACAAGTTTGGTACTGGCTTGGGTTGGGTACGCCAGTGGCAAAGGTGTATGAGAGATGATCCCTGGAAGGTACTGTCGAGTAACTGAGGTAGCGAAGAGCAAGGTATGGTGCTTACTCAGGTTCAGTCAGTGGGGTGGTCTCATTGGGCTCTGTCTGTCCCCCGCCATCATGGTTTGGGGTGCGCTCTTCCTCTGTTCGCACCTCCACAATAGGCTCCTTGGATTCATCTTTCCTGCAAGCAAACAGTGTACAGTATGTGTAGGAATTTTGCTTTTTTAAACACATTCACTAAAAGCTCCAGGGTACAAGAAACATTTATAATTAGGAGAAACAAACAGTCACGGGGTCAGTAATTTAGGAATTTAGCTTTACTAGTTCAACTGATAAAGAATCACCTCAAAAACACAGTAAATAAAATTGACTATTATGCAGAACATAAGATAGCATATAAGATTCCCTTTGATTTCGATAAACCATTAGTTACGGTCACAATGGGGGTTTCATATATTCAAACTCTGAAATGTACTGTATCTTTGCACACAAGAGGAAAAAGGGATTTGCGCCAGGAAAGGAGATAAAAGAGGAAAACACCTGTTAACATTATCTTTCCCCTGGCTGAGATTTGAAGGATGGCAGTGCTTCCTGTTGAGTGCTCAGAATGAAAGTTTGATGCTGTCTCTGCAACGTTTCTTTTGTGGCACGCAAAAAGTGCGCTTTTCCCAAAGACGGCGAAAAAACACATGGAGCCGGTAACTCACGAGAAAGCCGCCTTCCCTTCCTCTATGTCCTTGCCCTTAGCTCCGGGTCCCGACTTCCCACAGAAGTTGACAGCGATGCACATGAGCAGGCCGCACTTGTTCAGGAAGTAGCAGGTGACGTCCACGACCACCAACAAGATGACAAACACGACAATTAGGATTCCCACGATGGCTCCTGTGCTCAGCCCTGACCCACTAGCCACAGAATCTTCAGGGTGAAAGAAAAAAAAAACAGAGAAACATGATTTTCAGTAAGCAACAACAAATCCCGTAATCCCGTCTGAGATAAACTCTTCAAATGTTAATTAATCTAACCAAACCAGATCTGGAGACATGCAAGTCCATACACAAAATATTAACTTGGTAACAAATGAGGCTTGCTTCCTTAGAAATATACAAGAATAGATACAATATTTTGAGTCTGCCTCTGATACTTGTTACTCAATATGTGAAAATCAGGCAAGATTCTATATGCTACTGTCTATACCAGTTTAATTAACTGTAACATTACACAATTAAATATTTTAGTTTAGAATTTAGCAACCCTCTGTAACCAACTAGATTGCAAACAGCTGAAACAGATTTGTGATTTTCAAACTGAGCGTCTTGTCTTTTGCATCTGCATTTGACTTGAATGTGTTTTTTTTTTCTGTACTATTGAACATTCCTGTCATAAAGAAAGAACACTGATGTGTTATAACCTCTTGGAAGAATATGTGCTAGAACAATCTGCAAGTGACAGTAACTTAGCAAGAAACATAAAAAGGTGTTCATGTTTTAAGTGAAGGAAAATACAAAATACTTACCGCAAATGAATACCAAAAGTTTAATTAATGCTTGATAAAAAAACCTTGCTACAATACATGCATTTAATGCTCATAAGTAATGCACACAACAGTGTGCATTTGCATTCCTGAGAAATGCATGTTTGATTAAAAAACAATAGTATAATCACTAGGTGAGAAAGAACCACTCTTACTATCTAACAGTAGGTACAAACTTGAAAAAAAAACATTTTCATTTTGATATTATAGGGATCCACTAATATTTAGATTTTTGTGATTTTAATGTTACCCTTAATTACTTTTAATGCAGGACTTGCTATCCATGTGGGCAAAGAATTACAGTATGTAAGGATTATATAACCAAACAACTGAGCAGTTTTAACAAGTTACTGAAGAGGTTTCGCACCATTTCCAGCCAGAAGTGTGCTTAAAGAATGTGTGTGTTACACATAGTGTGATACTGACACTTGAAACATCAAGCATATTCCACTTGGTGTAACTACTCAGTGCAAATCCATTCAATTTTGTTGGTGTCCTTTCATATCCCAAAGAAACACTATCAAAAATTACAAGACTATTATTAGTTATAGCCTGCAAAGGTCCCACAGTGTGAATTAATTTTTATGTTTTCAACATCAGAAACAAAAAAATACAAGGAAGACAAGAGTAAGGTGAAAACCCCAGACAAAATAAACACAAAGTGTCATCCAAGTCGAACTTTCTCCTTTTTTTATTAATCTTTTTTTAACCCAAAATCATTTTGGGTTATTAAATTTCTAACAGTTTTTTGTGTGTTTCTCGAATACACAATATTGAATTTCGGCATTCCCTGTTCAGACACATGCATCTGCCTCAGCACGGAGCCACAGAGTTCTAATCACCAGGATGTGGAGTGAGATAAGGTTGGGAATTGAAAAAACTGACTTACTGCATTTTGAAGATTCTTGTACATGACACTTAAGTGTGCATATTAGATATCCCGTCTGAACAAAATATATCCACAGCAAAATGATGATACAATCGCCTTTTGTGGCCAATTTGTATTATTCTTTGCTTTTATTGAAGTGTGATTCTGCATGAATATTTCAACCAGAGGAACTTTTCCTCCTATTTTAGGACCATACGTTCTCACATGCTACACTTAAGGAACGTTTATGAAAGACATCACAAGGTTCCCCTTGCAGTTGTGCTAAAAAGACCCACTTCAGTTCTCATCTCAGTCTCCTGAAGAAAACAACGTACAGTACAAGCTCTTGTTCAAAGACAGGTAAGCAGAATATATTTTAAAAACCACAAATCTACTCATTACTGCTATTAAAGTGCTTTGCACTGTCCATGTTTGTCTAATCCAATTAACAAAACTGTAACTTGGCATAAAAGAACAAAAAGTCAATTAGAATGATGTTTTTATAAGTAATTTCAACTAGTAAAATACTGTAGTTAATTGTGCGCAAACTATTTCTTGGGTGTTACAGCTCTTAAATGTTGTATCAAGCTCCATTTGTATCAAGATTTAATCATCTAATTGCCTAAAATTAGAAGGGAAGCACTTCTTTTATTCTAGTTAATCTACATGTTACAAAAATAATTCAACAGTTTATATTTCATCAGGTGAATGTGAATCATGACATGTTTCTCATCCATTGTTGCAGTGTGCATTAGCAACGTGTGAACATCATACATTCAAGTCTCATTTTCAATTCATTGTTGAACACAGTATCAGGGCCTTTTGTTCTGGCTGAATTTAGTAAAACATAAAGGTGCTTACGAAAGACAGAATATGCAAATGTTGCTAATAAACGGTCCACTGAGCCTACAGGCAACGGTATTCTGTCTGTACAAGCTACCCATACAATTATTTTAATGCAATTGCTGCTAAACAGTTAAGTTGATCTTCAAGAATGCCTTCCAGCAACTACATTTTCTCATCTTGAGTCAGTAAAACACTTAATTATTCATAGGTTCTCCTTCCTTTTTTTGTAAAGGGCTAGAGATGGTAAAAGCCCATTTGATCAGTAGTTTGCATTTAATATGAACATTAAGGGGAAATCTGAGAACATATCAGTGAGACTTGCACCTAAGGGGTATGACTACTTCAGTTACAGTACAGTACATGCACACAAACCACAAAACAAAATTCTGTATCTGTCAGTTCTTACAGGTGCAAATCTTATCAACTGTTAGACACAATGCCTTTTACTGAGCCTGTAAATAACCTCAAAAAGACTAAGGCTTTCATTCACACATTTTCTGAAATAAAATGACATATGTATCCTACAAAATGAGGCTTCAATAAATGTTGATGCAGCCAAGAATCAAGTGTTCATATAGTGCAAAGATGAATAATTTGTTGATTAGTGACTTCCAAGCAGTATTCTTGTGCAGAGAGTGATTATAGCTCATACCGTACACAGTAAACAACAATGGATCTTTAGTAATGGAATTAACTTTCAGGAAAAAAGTATGGATCTCTTTTAAGATTAACCTTACAATCTACTGTAGCACAGGACCTTCAACATAAATCTAAACTTTAACAATTCATTGAGGCTATTGTTTTACACTGATTCAGCAGTGATCACATACAACTTCAAAGTCTGCTAACCTTCCAGGTGGTGCTCCACTACAGGAAAAGCAGAGCCACAGTGATCCTTTGCACATATGAAAAAAATGATAGCCAAGGCCTGTTATTTATTCTGAATCACAGAAAAACATTAACAGACGCCCTGTGTTAAAATGAAACCCAAAAAATAAATCAAACACTTATGCAACTGAACCACAGAACACAGTTAACACACCCATTGTGTCCCTAAAAGTGCAGTTTTTAGAGCAAAACAGTCGACAGAAAATTTATTTTTTAAACACTCTTCAGCCCTTTTACAGTACTCTTTGTCGTTTTCATATTTGTCACCATTTTGGACAAGGGAAATATCCCCCCACTTGTGCAAAAAACACACTGAGAGTCATGAATAAGAAAATCAAACAGTACGATTGGCACACAAATTCCATTTACTGTACCTCACCTCTGTACCATTTTGGGGTGACTGAGGTGTGGAGCAAAATGTATGAAAATATTTGCCTCAGTCTGAGCTTGATTACAACTATTATTTGTAGTCCATAAGGTCTTGATCCAGAACCTACAGAATGGTTACACTTACTGCACTACACATCCCTGCCTTAAAACAATTTTCCTCAAAATTTGAAATCATATTATACAATCACATACATTTTCCGAACAATGAAAGAGAGAAATAACCACTGTATCTGCTTTTTGGCTCTCTTCGATAAATAATTCATTTTTAGCCATCTAAAGTTTTCTATAGCCATAAAACAGGAAATCCTCCTAGATCCAAACACACTTCTCTCTGCTGGGCAGCTGGAAAAGCTCAAATGAAAGCATAATCTAATCCATACAAAACTGCAACACAAAACACTTGCTTTCAAGCACTTCAATGCATAACGTAAATATTCAGAATGATTCTAGCCATTCCTCCAAAAGCAATGTACAGTATATGTAAGTTAAAAAACACACATTTACTACATGGGTGCACATCAGTTTCATGTATTAAAAAGGAGAGTTAACTAGGAACAAATCACAATCTATGAATATCAATGGAAAAAAAGGAAAACTTTACAGTTTATGGGTTCAAATCTCAGGTCAGACACAGCAGTTGTGCCTTTGAGCAAGGTACTTCAATCAGACTGTTCTAGTCCCATGCCCAACTGTATAAAAGGGTTTAAAATGTAGGTTGTTTTGGATAAAAGCATCAGCCATATTAGTTAATACAACATATGAGTTCTAGTAATCAATTTTTGATAATTCCAGATAATTCCGGTAAACCTAGAAAAATCTTTCAAAACAAGAAATCATTTCATGGGCACCATTTGTTCTAATCTGAAAAGGGGTATATTTTATCTTTTAAATTCTTATGGAAATTGGTGTCTTCTGCTTCTCACCATAAAGAAGTTTTATGATGACAGACGTGTGACAAATTCATGGATTAGGAACCATATCAGACAGTGACAGACGGGAACGGATTTGAAAATGATTCACTTATTGTGCCCATTTCAATGTTTTTTTTTTATTAATGTTACTTTTTTAAATGTACACAGAATGACCACTAGAGCATGTGTCTGCACAGTCAGGCACAGCGTTTGCGGTGGCGTTTCCACGCATTCTTAAATGGGATAATGGAAAGGAAAAAGGGACATTGGGTTATTGTTAACTTGAAGATAGAGTCTGTTGCCTTACTGAACTTTTTTGTTCTACTTTACGTAACAAAGGGGGGAGGGGGGAAGGAAAGCTTTTGAATAACAGAAGTACCAAGGAACGACCTCTTCCTGCTGCCCACCGCCATCCTCAACATTAAGCTGATATTTCGCTCTTTTTCAGCGCAAGGATTGAAAAGGCATACAAAACAATCAGCCAGCCTTGATATGAAATGGCAGGCAGTCTTCAACTTTACTGAGACAAAGTCTATGAGAGTAAGAACACAGTCAGTACGGAGGAGACGAGTGAGATCAGTGTATAGGTCACTGAAGAACAGCCCAAGGTTGCTGATGACACAAAGTAACAAGACAACCCCCCCCCCATAGTTTCCAGAGAGCAAGAATTATACAGTGAAATATTTGCATAAAAAAAGTGTAGGAAAAAATTAAACAAATCCGTGCACATGATAATGTGATGATCCATAGGTGTCCACGACCACATATGAAGACAGACAAGGAAAGGGAGATAAAAAGGGGAGAGGGAGAAAAACAGGGGGAGAGGGAGGGGGAAAAAAGAGAGAAAAAGAGAAAGATAGAAAAATAGGTCATAAATACAGAAACGTAAGATTGGAAGGTAAATTGAAACAAACTAAAGTAAAAAAAAAATCCACACAAGTTAAGAGAAAAGGTATATTTTTTTAAGAAAAAGACAAAAAGAAAACACAGCAAGTAAGAAAGCTCAGCAGATGACACGGGGCAGTAAAGCAGGCCGAATGTCAAAGTTAGAAGGTCAGGAAAAAGGTGAAGATGCAGAGGAGTTATGAACCACACAGGAAGTGGTAGACAAGTGACAAAAAAATCTAATAACAAGAACAGGACAACCTCCCTGACAGCGAGCAATTTACTGTACATTAACACTGTATAAGAGTCTAGGTATGATATCCAAATACTGAGCCACAGGTACTAAAGCAGTTTGCATTTAAATAAGAAAATAATTAAGCATGAATTAAAACAACAATCAAACCAAATATAAGGTAAAAACTAATGAGGAAGAACGGATACTATAAACCATCCTGATATCTTAACCATCTTATTCATGGTGATTAACTTTTTAAAGTAGACAGTTAATGTATAAAAAGTCTCACACAGGGAAGGCTGTCCATGAAAAACAAAGAAGTAATGGCAAAACATGTTAAAATAATGAGGGTGTTCTTATGATCATCATCAATGTGTTATTGTTGGTGTTAAAAACTCTGCTTCAAGTGGCAAATTTTTAGAAGGAGCACCTGTAGCGTCTGTTCTTAGTCAGCCTAAGCTTGGGAGATTTGGATGATGCAACTGAGTTTTAGTTTCACCATCAGTACAGTTCAGCGCCGCTCTCCTAAGTGGACTTTACGAATGGTGAACACCATTCCTTTTTGGTGTTAGAAGAAATAGCTTATTTTCATAAAGCATCGGCACTCTCAAGACGTACGCACCTGTGTCACCTACATGTGCTTACTTGTTTGTACATGCTTTATGAAAATCTCAAACTTTCTTTTAAATATCTCATCCAGCCACCCATTCCCTGTTTAACAAACTGCGGATTAAACAAAACTTCGTTTAAGCTGTGAAAACTGACAAAGCAGATATGCTAAACATCTGGGCAGGGTTTACAAAGCCCAAACATGGTGCTTTTTCCCCAATTTGCCAACGCTTGTTAAACTGTTTACTTGTGAAGTCAAATGATATCAGTGAAATACAGCAGTCAAGACGTGGACAAGAAAGTAGAAAGCAAAACAGATACACGGTCATCCAAGTAAACCTGGGGTGTTACTAGTGGGATGTCACTATCCAAACCTCCCATCGGTAAGTGGTGGGACCAACCCAAGCACAAGACAAAGCAAGTCCCTGTGCCATGCTTTGGCAACTGCCAGTTAACAACTCAGTTAAGCAATTTCATATTAATCCCATTAATGCATCACCATGCAAGGTCAAAGGGCTGCATCCCCAGTGAGAAACAAACATCCCAAGAATCAAGCTGATGTTCGTCTTCAATAAACTCGGTCTACCTGAATGACTTATAAATCAAAACAGATTTCAATACTCTCTTTAAAGCCTTTTGTATGATCAATTACTTGCCATCACATACTTACTACCACAAAACACAGAAAGGGGCCATAATCTTCTAGTGATATTTACAAACACTCATTCTACTTTTTTTAAATGACAATATTGAAAAGGAATTTTGGATATTGTTTACATCACTGCACACATTTATTACGCCAAGCAAGACTTAACCTGATTTTGTGTTGGAGGATAATTATGTTTTAATAACTGAATGGTCCTTGTACATATAGGCCTTGTTAGAAGGGGCTTTCTGTGTTAGATGATCAAAGTCTTTGATGATTTTTTACAAGTAGTCTCAACCATAAATATGATCTCAAAGAAATGTTGAGTTTCACTAACTTATTATTTCGTAATCTTTCCTTAGTCTTAATCACAATCAAAGATGTAAATTCACGGGTTTCTGATGTATCAAGAGTGACAAACAGTAGATCCAAGACTGGCAAAACCTGAGAGAATTATAAGAGAGAAGCAGTAGACAGAAAGGCCTAGTCTATTTCAAAGGGGAGGCAGCCCAGTCAAAAGTGCGAAAATGCAAAGTCTGAGAAGAGCACAGTCAATTCAGTACAGGGCAACCGTGACAATTTGAAATGGGAAGAATGGGGGCGACAAGGCCTGGAGTCCCATCAGATGAGACATACTAGTCAAGCAGAAATTATGAGAGAAAAAGATGTCAGCTGCAAGCTATGTTCTGCTCTTTTTTTGAAACGGAGATAAATCATTCACACCTCGACCTGTTAATTCTCCAGTGCCTCTAATGAAGTTTAGCCGTGACTAAGCTCACGGGGGTGTGGGGGGGGGGGATAAAGTTTCCCCTGTGTTGCTGAAGGCATGTTTCCACATAAATCAGCACAACAGGGCGGCGAGTATTTTCTGTCCGCTTTTGTAACGTTTCGGGTTTTTAGGATTTCAATTGCTTGGCAGCCAGCCCTCTTTTGCTAACGAGGCACTCGCACTAAATGTGCGCTAACTGGAGGTGGTTTTACTGTAGGCTTCATGAAGCATGTTCAGCTAGAGGCGGAAAACAACTGTATGGAAGCACTGGGACAACTCAGGCCCGGGAAAGCGACTAACAGTTTACAACAGGAAAACTGCGGCTCAAACAGGTCTAAAGGGGCAGCGGAAGGGGGGAGAAAAAAGAGAGCAGACAATGCGTGCGGACAGATGGTGTTAAATTCACACAGAAAGGGAATACCCTTGATTTAAAGGCAAACGAGGCATGACACTGTGAACCAGCATCAACTGGCAGTGGCTTCGTCCAGTAAGCAATGTTTCTGGTACCTGGGATAGCAGTGGGCTCTGGGGGGGTTCTGAAGTAGTAGATGCCAGGCTGTGATTTTCCTTGCTGGTTCTCTGCCACCACGTATACTTCGTATTCGGTATTCCAGTCCAGGGCCGAGAGGACGGCATACTCACTGTCAGACGGCAGTCTGATCTCAGGCTTCCAGTCTGGCATGTGCTTCTAAAAACCGTAAGGTAGAAGAAAGCCAGACAAACACTGTCAAGGGGCTCATTTACTACAGTAAAAACCGCTGACATGGGAGTGTTAATTCTACTAGTTCTTTCCATTTTTCGAATTTTACCATACCCTCTTTAAAAATATGAAACACAACCCTCCATTTCATTTTACTCTTATCCCTTCGAATTCTGCTGTATTTTGTACCTGTCAATGTTACTGCAGTAACGTTTTTTTTTTTCCTAAAATAAAGTTTCCTTAATGGTTTAGTGAAAAAACCAAAGCGCTGTGCCAGGGAAAAAGGGGGACATTGTGTGCCTCCAGAAAGAATAATGAATATTATGTTCAATATTTAAAACAAAAACATTGAAAACGTTTAGGCGATACTCTATTTTTTTTGCAGGTTTAAGGAATGAAGTCTGAAACTATTCAGAATGCTTTATGACAGCACAGAAATTAAGGTTAATCTAAAACTCTGTCATACAGAGTTAGGGGTGGAGCGGTGGCTCTGTGGCTCAGGATCTGCGCCTGTGGCTGGATGGTTGCCGGCAGAGGAATCCTACTTCGTCGGGCTCCTGAGCAAGGCCCTTAACCCCAACTGCTCCATGGGTGCCATATAAATGGCTGCGCTCTGACCTTAAGCTTCTCTCCCTGTCTGTGTGTCTCATGGAGAGCAAGCTGGGGTATGCGAAAAGACAAATTCCTAATGCAAGAAATTGTATATGGCCAATAAAGTAATCTTATCTCATCTTTTAGTTGCAATATTTATCTTGTATTACAGTATTTTCTTTTACGTTTGACTGATTATTGATTATTTCAGTCATTCTTAAACTCTTGGTTCCAAAAATGTTTATACTTTTTGTACCCTGGTTTTGATCTTTATCTTACGTTGTTATTAGGGGCAATGCGTTTTGTCTGATAATTTTGATACGCGTCATATACAAGAAATTGTCTATGGCCAGTAAAGTGACCCAATCTTATCTTATACTCACAGGTTTGTATCTCACTAAGTAGTGTCGGATTGGGGAGCCGCCATCGTCCTGCTTGATCCAGTTGACTTTCATACTGTTCCCTGTTTCCATCACTCTACCGTCCAGTTTCGGAGGGCTGGGTTCCCCTAGGGAGGACATACCAGTGACAGTGCAGTTAGTGACTGTACAGACCTTTACCACTGTCTGGAGCTCAGAACAGCACAGTGACAACATTCCTTCCAGCCCTTGTGAATTATGTATTACCTACCGGTCCCATGTGTCTGGTCTACTCTATTTGGACACCTGAGCTTATGTATTTCTCCCCTATGTTGTCCCTAAAGTATATCTGGGGACAATATTCTTATTTTTATCTGCTTTTCCTCAGGAGGCCTGGTTCAAAACCTTGCATTCGGAAATATTTTGGAAATGGTAACGTAATTAGTCAAATAAACTCTGCCCGAAGAAGTCTGATATTTTGATTTGATTTCACTTTCATGTTTTCTGCAGTGCTTAACCCAGGAGAACACAAAACCCTGGAAGGAACTAAATATCAATAACAATCTAACTTTCAAGAAAGTGGAAAAAAAAATGTATTCATATTTGCTGAGCGCTACGCGTTTCTGAACAGCGAGACTGTATGGGCATTCAAACAGTATTCTCAGAAAGCAGCCCTACCAAAGGGACTACAAAACCCTCCCAGGGCTTTTATTTTAGATTCTAGCAGTCCACTGACAAGACATATAGCAACCTTACTTAGCTACAACATATAGTTCATAATTATGTTATCTAGGGTGAGGAGGGCCATGTGCATGTTAGGTGCACAGTTAATACATTCATGGCTACATAAAGAATTTGCATTATAATTAAGCACTTCCTTTCTCTTACAGCCATTTATTGTGATGACTCGCCACTGGACTTTTCCTTTCATTCCCTGGAAGAATATAAGACCTTGACTGATGACAACTCAGCTGGTGTAATTCAGGCAATTCTTTCTAAACAATGTGGCCAATTTGCCCAGTTCTGTACTTTTTCTGCAGCTGACCTGACGCTGAGGCACAGCTACGCTATGAGTTCAGTGTTTTGTCATACAAACACACACGATGCAGGTCTCATGGCTCTACTTAAGTGTTTGTCTTTTCTCCTTGTTTAAAAAGGCCGGCAATTGACCATGTTACTGAACGATTCCCCTTCTAAAGAAAAAAATGTCTGAAAAAAAAGTACTGGAAACCCCCTATAACAGGTAAGCTGTTCATATAAATCTCAAGTACTGCTCAAATACATATTTACATTAATATATTGAATGAATACTTAAGTGTTCTTCACTTAATAGTAATAATATTTTAACAGTATTTATTATTTTTAATCTCAAAACACTTATAAATTACTATTCTATCACAATCGTTATTGTGGACAGGTACTTTATTGTTCAAGAAAGACTAAGTTAACATATATATTATTTTAAAGATCTCCTCTTTAGATACTACTCCTATTCCTACTAATAAATGCTGGAAATAAAACAAAAATAGTTAGTGACAGAGAAGGCAAATTATTAAATAAAGGTGACAATATTGTTTTAGTCCAGTACAACGCATCATTTCCACAGTTAGGTGAAGGTTTCTCAGATGCTAAGAGGGAGAAAAAGCCATTAGGGTTATACATAAATGAGTAACACTAACAAAAACCATGCAAAAACCATGCACCCACAGTAATTATTCAAAATGTAATGATATTGCCTATTTTCACACTCCTTGTGTGTAAGTAAAGATCAACCGAATCTTTGGTATTGGCTGCTGAGTCCCATTTATACCCAATTAGCCTGCCCTGTAAGACCATGTGTGCAGTAGGGGTCAGGACTGGAAGTGACCACTTCCTGGATCCTGACCCAAATCTTGGGTAGAACACTCTACAGCAAGGTACTTCAAACTGTCGAATTAAAACACCCAGCTGTATACATGGATATTATTATTATTATTATTATTATTATTATTATTATTATTATTCATACCTTGATGTAGAACCCTAAATGTCAAATACATCACCATGAGATTCGTGTTGAAGTACTTCAGTTCTTGAAGTACTAAAGCCACACTGAAAATTTTGCATAAATATTATGGCAGCATGGCAGAAGGGGCAAAATAAAGGCCACTGCCTCGCCTACATCTCCCAGAAGACTGCGGTAAAGTCCTGCCACCTTTTCAGAGGAAACCAACTGGATGGGTGAATGAAGAAGCATCCTGTGCCCTAGAACTGCTATCTGGAGATGGAGGGCAGATCCACTAGACTACACAGCAGCTGGGCGAGAAGAAGTGACAGAGTAGGCAATCTCTGACTGTTGGTAGAATGAGCTGAACAAGGATTCAAAAGCAGACACCTTTTAAGATGGTGCTGTTCTATCCGCACTATTTTGACTGATACCCATTTCTGTGTGTGTCTGTGGCAGGAGATATTTCTATTTTAAGGATCAGTGCTACAGAAAACTCCCCATGAGTTGTCACACCATATTTACACCGAAAAGGTCAAGTTGTCCTTATGAAACTCACTGTTTTTTTTTTTAAAACTCTTGAACTCATTATTTTGGGAAGGGAACTTCTTACTTTATATAACAAGGATAGGATCAACACTTTACTGCAGAAATGAACAGTAACACTTTGCAACACACTTAAATTTTTTGGCCCATTAGGTTTAACTACTTCTGCACTAGAAGCTAGGTTAGACCCTGTAAGAAGTGTAAATGGGACTCCACTTCGAGAACAGCACGCTTTGGCCGGATTTGAAGCACAGATCAATACATGTGAATAACACACAGGGTGAGGAAAAAGTACATTCGCAGGACAACACAAAACTGACATGCAGAAAGAAGCAAACGTTTCAGTCCAGACAGAGCTGGAAAAGGTATCTATAAACAGGAGAGGAAGGAATAAGAGAAACAAAGGAACTCTAACTTGCATGCATGCAGCAATGTTTGGTGATTGTCGTTGTTAGTTCATTTTGAACAGTGGCCAGGAACACTGTAATAATGTGTTTTCTTAAAAAAAACAGGTGACACTAAAACATAAGACTGTAAAACAAAAATAAAATCATAAAGTGCAATGCTTTTTGGCGGGTCAGTGGCTTCACAAGGCTTGTCAATTGTTATAGTTTTGGAAATGTTAGGGTAGCAGGGATTAATGAAAAGCAATGCTCAGAACTAACAGGCAAACTGTGGCTGGGTTAGGTGTTAAAGGTGAAGAATTTGGCTCAAATGGATTCTCTTGAAAAAAATGAGAAAAAGAAAATCTGATGTTCAGGTCAACCATTTGCTTCTTTTGCAATGCTGCTTTTTTTTAATGTCTTCCCCATTACAGCTCAGTTACTTGCTAACCTGCCTTTTATCTTATCCTGTAGCAGTGAAGCTTGCACCTCCAAGCCAGTGTTTGGAGACAGAAATCAACAGCAGCTAATTAAGCAGACAATATAATTAATTTTACTTTGTAAAAACGCAGACTAAACAAGCACTTCTGGGCATAGGAATGACTTGCAGACGTCATTGAACATGCTGTTGAAAAATCTGCTTGTGCTCAAGAAGGTTAAGCTAGTCTATTGATGTGAAACTTTGCATTTATCTCCTTTTTCATGACTGTTACAATTTAACTTCAACTGCTTAAAACAGGCATTAATACCTCCGTTTCATTTTTACAAACAAATTAAAAACAAATACAGGCAAAATGGTTGATCTTAAAATTATTGTTTATTTCTCCGATTATTCTATTTTAAAATAAACAAGGATGTTTTTTTTTACATGATATATCCAACATGCAATGACAGTAAGCTAGGTAAACCAGCAACAAAATAATAATTGATGGTTTGGTGACGTGTGTTTTCATGTAAAAAATGAAAAACTCTACTAAAGGTTGATCTGTTAAAAAAATGCTTCTCTATTGTGAACTGGACCAATCAGAACAAAGATTTTACCTTCTGCTCACCAGCGTGGACGACATCATCAGCACCATGCAAGCCACATGACAAAGTCACATGATACGCACGCACATGATTGGTTAAAAGGAAAGTGGAGGAGGTCACATGGAAAACACAAAAAATTAAAAAAATTATGTAAACATGGGCAAGGAGAACATAAGAAGTTAAGACCAAATTATACAAAAAACAAAGGGAATAAAAACAAAATGAAAAGCAATTTCACAACATAAAAAATTAAACATTTAAAACATATGAAACAACAGGGACACTGAAACAGCATTTCCTCTGGCTGAAATCGATAAGAATATCAAAGTGTTACAAGCAAGTTTTTGTTACAAGCACACAGAGATGACCAAAATAAAAGCTCTTTCGACAATATATTTTGCATTATGTGTATATTTGTAACAGTCTGCAATGAAACAGAAGGGAAAAAAAAACAAAAATCAGAGGAAACTCTGCAGTATTAAAAAATACTGATTGATGACAACTCAACTACAATAATCACACATGCGCAAGTACTTAACATGGCATGTAAAAAGTCCTTCGGTGTGTGAAACAGGCAAGTCTGTGATGAAAGAAGGCTGAAATGAAACTGAATTTTAAATAGCAGGTACTAAATGTTTTTGTTTCTTTAAAATGCTATGTATGTCACATACTGTGTGGGCATACTGTAACCCATTAAAATGATCAGCGACTGGAATGTTTCCAAACAGGACTGGATTTTTATCTGCGGTGCTTAGTAACTGTCCCAGTATCATCCTGTTTCAGCTACTTGTATGCGATCATTTTCAGGAACAGGGGAGTAAAAGGACACATATGGGATTTCACTTGGGGGAAATTCATTTCAAACGTGGCATTAGATCTGTGTCTGCATGGAGTTTAAAAGTTTGTGAGCTGTGGAACATTTTGTGCATAGTTAATGCTCTTTTGATAGCAAAGGGTAAAAATATCAGGGATTGTCAGGGTTAACTTAAGAGACTAGCACATCTGTAACGGTTGCGTGAGCATGGAATGAATGTCTACTGATTTCATTACATACAGTATCGCTAAAGATCACCCATTGCAATACACGTTTATACAATTGTTTTCCCTTGCCTTTTCATTCAAGATTTATCTTTTTAATTTTTAAATTTCCACCTACAGTACCTGCCATGCGCTAATGACATCCAATTAAAAAAAAAGTATATATATCAGCATAATATATGTACTCCAATCTGCAGCGATATATAGTAAATCATTTTAATTTCTATACAGCAGCAGTTTCCATCAAGCCTACTTTCATGAAATTCTTGCCATGACAAATTGAAGAAAGTCAAAAATTTTAATGGTAAAAAGACACTTCTTAACACTGTCTGCAACATATAATCTTCAGGGTCAGTTACTGCATGCAGCTAATAAATACAGTCCTCTCTGAAAGCACAAGAGTACGAAGATGTGATTATCATTTCTACATGCCATGTTGGTAAAAAATGAGGAAAAATCATACTTACTCCTTTTTTCACTGCAAAAAGGAAAACATTAAGTGTTTGTATAAAACTGTATGTACAGTACATTGTGTATACTGTAGTGCATACACAAATAAGTTTTTCGTATAAGCAGGAATTAAGCTGTGACTGTTACAATACATGAAAATGTTCTGCACACTCTGCTAAAAAGGATTAAATACAAATACAGAAGGGAATGGTATTCCTCTTCTGTAAAAGGACTTTGAAGAGTTCTACAGCAAAATGTCTTTTATTGCTACAGTATTTTTCCAAGATTCCAGAAACTGAGGTAAGTGCCAAGACAGTGTATAATAATATATGACTGCACAGTATATGCCCCCCGAATACAGTTTTGTATTTCACAATGTCCACCACAAAATATACTAAAAACCTTATTCTAAAATGTCTTGAGATGATGAGTCATGCAAAGTGCTGTATACAAATATTTCTAAATTGTTTCTTCAAAACATTTTATGCACTGGACATCAGGCAAGTGCAAGAGATTTGAATCTTTCCAAAGACTTGGAGTTTAAGAAGCCCACACTTGTAAAACTGACCAAACATACGGGTAAAAGTGATTTTAATATTAATAGCAGCCAGACAATCCTAAACAGAAGCCAAGAAGAAATCAAGACACTATAGTGAGCAGAATATTAATTTTTTTGTAAAGCCTTTTATAGATGCTTCAGAACACGCTTTTAAAAAAAGTACCCCTTTCTAGCAGGAGTTGGGCAGTGGTTTCAATTAAGGAAAAGGGTTAATGGCTTCTAATTAGCTTCTGAGGTATGGGGTCTACTTTCCATTCATTTTCTTGTAATATCCTGTTCTTTATGAACAGCAAATTGAAAGAAAAAGGAAAGACAATGAGCCTTTATGGCCACATGCTCTCAGCTTGGATATTTCCTGACTGTGGCTATGCTGTGCTCACACTGTGTCTCAGCCAGCTCTGACTGCTCTGGAATCCATTAGCTCACACTTTGTGGCAGTTTTTTTTTAATTAGTCACAATTAGTGTTAAACCTTAACAACAGTCTTTCTCTTCAAAGGTGTGAGCCAGAAACAATGGCGTTTCCCATAATAGCAATCCAGGCACTCAATCGATAATTTGCAATTCTGCTACAGGAGGATTATTATTTAAAACAACAGCACTCACAACACACACTCACTTATCCGGATTTAATCACTGGAGAATGAGGAGGAACTAAATTATAAGGGATGACTCTGAAACAGTCTAGATTTCTGTTCATTCACACAGTGAGTAGATTTTGCTTGTGAACATAAAACCTCTATAACACTTTTAACTAAAATCTGTACATTAGAAACAAATGCCATGTATCTATTTCTACACCAACAAACAAAATGAAACTCTTGTATATATGATTAATTGTGGAAAAAAAAAACAACATACAAAGCTTATTAATGCAAACTCTCCACACTAAGCATGCTCATCCAAGCTTTGAAAACAAGGAAATTGCAGTTATTTGTTCCTTCTGCTAAACTCAGTGAGAGGACCTATATATTTCAACGGACACCCTGAATCAGCAGAACAGACACACTTAACACTGCTAGAGCTCAACCTTGACAGATATAGTTAAGGAGTTATTAGACAATATAGCTGTTTTCCGACCCCATTACTAAAGCTATGGCTGTAAACCATTTAGAGGTCTTTCTCACAGTGTCATCAGTTCTCAAGGAAACACCTCGCCGGATCTTTGCTAAAGCAGAACTGACAACACCTCTGAAGTGAAATATCTATTATTTTAAGCTTCATAGGCTTCTGGGTTGTTATTTATTCTTGCCCAAATGAAAATGAAGCTCTCAATCTATCACCAGAGCCATGCCTAGAGCTCCCCCCACAGCTAATATCAATTATAATGTAAAATTATTAAGTAGAATATTTTTTTCTTGGCAGTCTATAAATACTTCAATTTGTATGATTATTTAGGGCCCGCCTTGCCTTAAAAGATTGCTAAGCAGCTGAAAAAGAGATTAGAATTTGCTGACACCGTCATCTTGTTTTTTTTTTTAAAAAAGGAGCAGATATCTTTGCGTTCAGTAGCTGGGTGGAAAAACTCCTCCCAGCCTCCTGATATGAAGACGCACACAAGGCAGTTACCTCTGTCACAGAAGTGCAGGGGAATCAGTGTTGCTATGGTAACCAAATGAACAGAGAGTAAAGGTAACTAAGATCAAGGGATGAAAAACAAGACAGGAAAGGAAGGCCAGAAGATAAACGGTAGAGAACATGAGACAATTTTTTTCCCTACTGTAGGTAAAACCATTGCTGAAAAATATGACCAGTTTAACAGGTGTTAAAAAAACAGCCAGAAGCCTAAATACTATCATTAATGAGTCTACTTTTTTATCACTACAGAAAAAAACCAACCACAAACCAATAAGATGTTCTGTGGGTTTTATTATCTGAAGTAATCCTGTAAGTGAAGCTCTCTTAAAAACTGATGGCTCAAAGCAAAACAGGCCACTGTGTTAATGTCATTTATTTAGAGTTAGTGCTCATGGCAAACTCTGCTTCGGATTTTCACAGGCCATGCTATAAGAATAATGAAAGCCTTAGAGGGTGAGGAATTGAAGTTGCAGTGCAGCCCTGGTAAAAACATTTCTGTTCAAATCATCCATACTTACAGAGTATTTTGTGCTCTTAAACATTAACGTACATAGCATCGAATTGGTCTAAAACAGATATATATATATATATTTTCTGTCATTAATATCTGCTATATTTTGTTCATTATTAATAATAACAGGACTAATCAGATATTGTCACCAAGAAGGAAGAAGCCAAACGTGGAAGATGAAGACACAAATTAAGAGAAAGGTTTACTGCCTGATGACCTTTGTTTAGTTCTGTGCATCTCACGGAACGCCTTTATTACGGCTTAACGTCATGCCAGGTGATGGCAACGCACCCAACAAAAGCATGGTCTGTCGGAGTATGCAGCAAAGCAGGGTGGGATCATGGGAAAGGAAGGGTCTCTGTGCCTCAATCTCCCACCCTCAAATGAGCCAAAGCAGGTTTGCGAACTTTCGATTTCGTTTCTGAAATTGGCGGCCAGTGTTAGGGAATAACGTCAAGCACGAATCAGCTCTGTGTTGTAAAGCAGGCAAGCGCAGCAAGAACACGCCACACGCCACACGCCAACCACGCCAAAGGCATACTCACTATCTGCGCTAACGACAGTGCTGCTTGGAGGAATGGGGGTTGGTGTCACTGAAGGAACTGGAAGATGGTAAAGACATGATTATGAAAGAAATGGGAACTCAGTTATGGAAATTGAACCACAGCAAAACACTCACTGTAAGCAATGCTTTAGCCCACTGAGCTGTGATAGATGGAAACCTGAACATTATTAATACTGGGTTAAAACCGCATTCATGGTAGAAGCTGCATGCAAAGCAGGTTTTTAAAAAATACTGTAAACAGACAGTAATATTTCCAAGTGCTTTCCCTTATTGAAGTGCAGAACTTCATTAACTCATGAAATGCAGATTTCGCAAGATGGGCTTTTTTTCTGCTTCATCTTCAAAACCGATAAATTGTTTAGATGGCATACTAGACACTTCATGCTGCTCATTTTACATTAGAGGGCTGCAAAACTACCACATCGGCTAACATAAATCTGTCAACAGAAGAAAATATAAGCGAAGCAAGTATGTAAAAACGTTTGGCTATTATACTGGACAAACACTCAATGTCACAGATGGGCAGAAGAGTTGGTGCACCTTTGGCAATCAAGCGTATGTTTTTGAAAACGTAAATTACTTCTGTTACTTCACAGGAAGCCCCACAGAGGCAACAGATGAAAACTCGGTTTTTATCACGTCATCCTCCAAATTACAGAAGCTGAAAAGGCTGAACATAAGGTAAGATTTTTTTTCCTTCCCAAAAGTTCAGATACTGCCATAACCATTTACCACCTACAGTGTGTTCCATACAAAAAAAGCAACAGCAGGCTCTGCAATTTTTTTTTAACATTTCCAAAGAATTGGGTAATGCACCCTGCTGTCTTTACTGACATGTTAAATAACAACACAGCATCTGCTTTAATGAAAGAAATGCTCTCCTACATTTTGTCTCTGTGTTCTTTCAGTCAGCAGATATGAGGCCAATTGGACAGCTGTTACCTTACCTGGCTATGGAGAATGTAATGTCTATCATTTGTTCCTGGCAAGCAGTAAAAGGTCTACATGATTTAAATGCATTCCTATTTTTTAATTTTTATTTTACACAGCATATGGGAGCTGAAGAATTCCTAAAAAGAAAAGCAATATGGAGCTTGAAATTAAAGGACTGTGGAATCTGAGAAGTACTGTCAAGGAATTTCAGGATCTAGTTCTTAATGTCTATCCTTGTTGAAGTTTTCTCACTCCACTCTCATGAATCTTACAACGTAGTCTCCTGTGGACTCTTAACATGCAGGTGCATGCAAAATGCCCATGAAAAAGGTGGTGGCTGAAATATTCGGTCTCACAATACTCAGGCCTACCCATAAAATAGTGCCCCAAAGCAACTCAAACACAGGACTGGAAATGTGAAAGAACTGTCAGACTCGGATAATTAAGCAAACAACAACACAAACCAGCAACGCCAACCACAGAGGAAAACAAGGAACTCGGAATCACTCATAAAAAAAATTCAATTTCAAAATTTAAAATTGAATTGTTTTATTAATAAAATTAGGTATTGAAAATAATAACAGCAACTCTATTCATGGCTGCAATTATAGACAACACAACATACTGATTAGCTGCACCTATAGTACAGTACTTCAATCTGTAGAGGCTGCTAATTAATCATAAGGAAATGGGAAGCAAAGCAAAGCTAACTTACCAGGTTCTATATGTGTTTTAGTGACAGCATCACTAAATGAGGAGTCAGTTTCTGGAAGCACTGAGTTTGTTAAAAGAATTTCAGTGGTCATGGATGCTGCTGCTGAGAGGTAAAGTAAATTAACAACACAACAGGGATATTTTGTAAGAAAAAAGGCACACAACACTTTGGCAAAGCTGTCGATACCAACTCCAATGATGTGCAGTGCTTCAATGTCACGGCCAGCCTCAACACAGCAATAACAGCCGAGAAAAGGGTCAGTTTGTATTTTTAACTTCGCCAAACAATACAAGCAAACTGTGCCAACTCTGCTGAAGTCCTCCACAATTATACAACCAACGTCCTGTGGGAACCTTGATTCTAAAACGTGATTCGACAGGAACAATGTGCCTTAAAGCCATTCATAAAGCATAAAAAGCATTCAGAACTTGGTATGGCAAAAAAGCAGATGGTTTGCTTTTTGTAGCCATAGCATGTTCTAAAAACAGAAGCTGAATGATAAAACTTTAGTAAGTTTTATCTTGATATGAAGCTTCCATATATGCATTCTGATCTGTTATTGTTTGAAAGGAATGCATATTTTTTAAAAAGTGCAATTAAGTCACTTGCAGGTGACAGTACCTGTAAGTCTCGTTTTGCCTAAAACAAAAGCTTAGAAAAACATTTTATCTTCCTTGTCGATCACAAGCTGTGTTAATGGCATCCTAGGGAAATTATTACTTTTTATAATGAGCCCTGGGGTGGACCCTTTGTGCTGATGGAGGAAAGACAGTCATTGAAAAAAATCTCATCTATCTTCCCAAAAGTACATCGAAACTCGGTGCTAACAGTCATCCATAGAAGATGTGCTGTTTTGCTTAGAATATGTGACTTAACGTAAGCTCTCTGGCAATGCAGGATAAGCTCTCTGAGCTGTTGCTGTTTCTGTTCAGCTCTGCTTGGCAGATCATCACATCATTAATGCAAAGAACCTCAACAGTTTCCCATCACACTTGCAAATACTCAGTGCAAAGCAAACACTGCCTGTTTCTAAAACGCAAATGTATTTTCTTATTTTTTGCAAGCAGTGACAAAGACATTCATGTTGGTGTAGCAGTGTTGCTTTGCTGTATGTATTTGTAAAAACAACATAAAACGCCACCCATTAAAAAAAGCAAACCATACTTTCGGAAATATCATCATTCCTGCAAATCCTTACTCACTGTCTACATTCTCAAAGCCAGGAACTGTGGGGGTGGCAACTGTGGTCTCATCAGTGGTCGCAGTCTCTTTTGACTGGGGTTTGATGTCTACTGAGATGACCTCCGGCAGTGTTGCTGGCTGACTAGTTGGATACATTGTGGCCTCCTGCATGGCAAAATTCAATAACCCCGATTCCTTCTGAGAAATAAATTCCTGAGATAAAGTTGTATGCAATTCCCCTTTTTCCTGGGATGGTGTCAATATCTCAATGACTCCTTCTACAGCTTGAGTGGATGCCTTCTCATATCCTACTTTATCTCCTATTTCTGTTGCTTCGGTAATATACTCCACTCCTAGGGGTCCAAGTGTAGCTATGTCATTCTCCTCATCTAAAACAAGTGGCTCAACATCTTCTTCTTCCTCCTTGAGAGGCACTACAACCACTGAAGTCAGATTATCTTGGTCATCATCAAAAACCACGTCACCATCTTCAGTGGTCTCCTCTTGGCCGTCAAATAAAGGAATGATTGTGACCAAATCAAAGATGTTGTTGGCTACCTCTGTGCTGTGCATTGTCTGAATTCCTCCAGTTGCGGTCTGGTGTTCTGTAGTTTCAGTTTCGTACAGTGCTCCTGTGGTTAGGGTTGAGCCTGTGGCCCCTTCAACAGGAGCACCTGTCTCTTCTGTACCCACTGCATGTGCTGCCATGGTTGTTCTATTCTCAGCCATCATTGTTGGTGCTGCAGCAAGAGGCTCCTCAGTAACTTCATGTGATTGCTCGGGTTCCGAAAAAACAGTTGCTCCTTTGACAGTGCCATCACTGGGTGCTTCAGTTGTTTCTCCTTCTTCTACAAATTCAGCAACGGAAATGTCCTCGGCAGGAAGAACCGTAAGGAACGCAGTCGTCGAACGGATCTCCTCTAAAGCATCTCTTTCAGACGGTGGTTCGGAAGGTTCCGATTCACCACCTGCTTCATCAGCTGCTGTAGGTACAGGTGTGGTTGGGAAATCTTCCGTCGTCAACAGAATTGAGAAGTGAGAATTGCTTGGCATCTCTTCAGGTGTCCCAGCGAGGTCTACAGAGCCATCGTATGTCTCTGATGCCGTCTCTTCAGATGAATCTGCAGCAGTCATTCCGTCCTTCTCAACGGTGCTTGGCGTTTGAACTGAGCTGGCTGTTGGACTGCGAAATCCATCATGCAGGTCTTCTTCACTTTCTTCGCCGTTGACTGACAGTAACAGTCGGGCACCAAAGACAGCGCGGTCTCTACTCAAGTACGTCAGGTGATGGGCTTTGGATTTCTTTCTAAACTGCCTGGCTTTAGGGTAGTTATACTTCAAAAGAAAGACATGTCCTCTCTCCTCAATCAACGGTGATTCAGCGGTCACTGTATAGGACAACAGCATGACATGAAGATGTTTTTAAACATTTGCAGGCAGCTCTATTCTCAGCTGCCACTGTGAGCCACGTCTTCCTTCAATCTGCTTTCAAGACTGTGATGCCCTCTTTCACCCCCCGGTTTCGATCATATTTAATCATTTAAAAAATAAACAAAACAAAACGTGATTTGAAAGTCTCCACCTGATGTTTGGCATGTTTTCTTTGACTTTACGTGCTCTCACCGAGCTATTTTTGGCTGGCCACTTAAAAGAAAGAAAACAAGCCTAAAAGATGTAAATGAAAGCAGACTTCACTGATTCTGTCAGCAGTTCCTTTCAAGAATCTGAAAACATTCAGCTTGGAATCTCGAACTAAAAAAAAAAATGTCAGAAACAATCTAAATCTAAATTATTTTTGCCCAAAATAAAAACACTCTAAAGCTGTAATGTACTGTATGTCCTGAGTGCTCCTATACATAAAATCTTAATCCCTGGCATTTCCACATCTTCCCAAAAAACTTTAAGTGAGTTTTCCATAATTAATGTTTGAACACTCTGGATCATTGTTCTCCCAATCATCGGCCTCATTTGTACCAACAACCTCTGGATGAATAATATAACGTGTAATTTGCAGTCTGTCTCTTCAAGGAAATGTCCCTTCTCTGATATTTAAGTATAATTATAACAAAGGACATCTTGCACTTGAGTAGGCTTTCTGGATTTGCCTTTTGTTCTAAGAAGGAGCATCTTTTACTGTAATTGTTTTGGCAATGGAAGGGAGTTGCAGAGCACATTTTGTTGATGTCAGAAATAAATGTGATAAGTTACTGAGTAAAAAAGAAGGCAGCTTTGCAAATTAGGAGCTGCTATATCACCTCAAACAGTAAAGCTTCAACACCTAGCTCATTTCACTGTGCCCAGCATTTTTATGTTTTTGATGGCCTTCTGTAAGTCAGAGGGGTACTGTAACATTCTGTTCAAGTAAAGACATAGACTAGAGATTGATTACTCATTAACAGAAAAAAGAGCTATCACATTTACTGTTTTGATAAATTCCTGTGCTACATTCCCATCCCTTAGGAGTTTTTAGTCCAGTATATTGTTAAACAACCAGCATAATAATAGTAACAATATCAAGTAGAACATTATAACTATAACATGGCTATAGAGTACACAAGCCGCATCAGTATCTTGGATGAGATTCATTATAGTCTCAGCTATATTTAGACAACACCTTCTAAATGCACACAGACACAGCCAAATAGTTCACTGTGCTTTCAAAACTGTTAGGTTTTATACTAAATTATACATTATACCACATTATAGTGTATTAAGAGACATTCACAATCACCGGAAACCATATTTACAGTAAGTAGGTACTAACATCCAGGGTCAGCTACAGCAAAACTCACATCTGAAATCTGTTCTACCATTGGCAATGATCTAAAAATATAGCTTTAACCAACCTGTATATTCCAAAAGATTGTGAAAAATGTCAGCTAGAAGACACATGAGAAAGGAAATACTAAAAATGCAGTTAATTATTTCTTTCTTCATTTTCTTATTGAGAAAACTACTCTGTATCCTGATCTTCTGACCAGTCTGGGACTTTGGCTTACCAGCTAATTGCAAATTAGAAACCAACTGTGTTATGACAAATTTCCTTTTAACAGAAGAAAGTTGCTTCTTGCAAAATTAAAAAAAGAGCTGACATATAAAACACTAGGTGGTTTCATTTTAAAATAAGATGAAAGCTTAAAAGTATAGATCTACTTTATTATAACTTAAGGTTTGACTCGAGCAACAGTTTTTACTGCAAAGTTCCTTGAAGTATATATCCTTTTAGTTTAATAAAGCATTTTTTTTCAGAATGGAATCCAACAGTTTGAGTCATGTGCAAATCACTAAAGAAATTAAAATAGAAGACTAAAAGCAATTTAAAGTACTTTTCAGTCAGGAAATACAGCCTTGAAAGTCAGAAAGCTCCAAAGGTGCTTTGGAAATTAGTTCTCATCTCTAGACTAGTACAAGTTAATAGATTTCATGAAGGGCAAGTTAACAGAATTCATGGAAATGTTTGAGAAAATGTTAATAGGATGAATGAAATTAACAAAAACAGACAGGGTACAAGGAGGCACTTACTTGAATAAGGATAGTCTGAGTTGTCCAATGGAACAAAGACAGATGGGGGGGAAAAGTAAAAACAGAAAAGAAAAAACAGAAAAGGTGAGAACGGAAATGCAGAAATGAGAGAAAAGAAAGAAAGGACAGGTTTCAAATAAACATGTAGTAAATTTCTTTTTAAAGCAGTACAGATGGATGGGTGCTAGCCTGCTGATCTTTCATCAGTGAGATCTCAAACCTAAATGCCCAGTCTTAAGACTGACGCTTGGAGTATTTTAAGAGGGAGAAAGGAGGAAAAAAAGTGGAAACATCCTGATAGCACAACAAATGTGTTGCACGCCTTTATGGACCTGGGCAATCCTAGTTGGCACACCTCTCAGAAGTTTTGGATGAAATGCTACAAAAAAAAAAGCAGCATTTCTGCAGGTGCTTCAGATTTTTCTGCGTGACTTACAGTATCTTCTTTGAAAGATCACTCACAAAACACCCTGAGAGAGAGGATCTAAACAGCAGCACACACAGGCTCATAATTAGCATGCTAAAAGAGAAGTAATGACAGGTTTCTCTATAATAGTTACTTCTCCACCGGCTGTGTTGGTGGGGGCACAGATTCAAATGAGATCGGCTGCGCTCCCCACACTCCCTCACTCTTCATACAGCTTAAATTAAAAGCCCCGCTGTAGGCAGTTTTATCGAGGGTGGCTGATCTGTCCCACAAGCACCATGTGGTTATTGCCCTCCAGGACTTCAAGGACAGCATTCCACAGTCAATGTTTTTTTTAACATCCAATCTTTAGGAGAAAGTCTGTAAACTGTAATAAATACTACAGTATGTGGTCATGCCAATACAGTGCAATAAAGTCACGTATGCAGCCTTTCTGAAAGGTTTAAATGTAGAAGCTCCTGCCACCACCTAGGGAAATCACAGTACTGTAATAAGCACAAAAGCCCTTGTCATTACAATACCAGCTGTGGCATCTTTGCCCTTTAGAGTTTAAAGAAAGCCATGGCATTATGAATTGAAACACTCAGCTAAAAGAAAAAAACTAAATTTAGGTGAAGTCAGGCAATGTACAGTATATTTGACTCTCTGAGTGAAATAAAAGTGTTTTTATTATAGTGCAGCTTCAGGCTAGCACAGAATAAACTTTAAAGTATACACTAGGTGGAAATGCTGTCCATGAGCCCACTGTTGAATAACCCATCTTGTAATGCAGTGACAAGATACAGATAATTATAGCTTGTAAAAAGTACAGGTTTTATTATACCCTGGAAATTCACAGCGCAAAACAAGCCTTGCGTGGAATTTCCAGTGCTCACACACTGCAAAAAGATCCCCTGCTGCATAAGACGAAACCCTGCCCCCAGCCTTACACAACTTCAGAGCTAAAAAAAACATGGGAGGTTTTCCTAGTTCTTAGTCTTTGACCTGTCAGCCTTCATAATCCAATTTCAAGCAGCCAAAAAACACCACACCGGAGACCACATCATTTAAACTACCTCGGAAAGCCACATGTGCCCTTACTGTCACGTTCCCTTGTACTTGCATGGACCTCGCAGAGAAGCAGTTAAGAGTGGAAGTGCTGACAGAGATAAAACCGTTGTTTGGAACAGCCAATCGAATGCGATCCACTCCCAAGGATATGCAAAGGGTCCTGCACGGCCACCTTAGGAGGCTGATTTGCCTCGCTGTCCAGCTACAAAGCAAACTATTAGCATTAATGCAGAAGACGAAAGGGACATGCACCCAGCGTGTATTTCACATCAAAGGGGCTTCAAAACCACCTGTGGGGAAGATTTTTTTTAACCAGTCCCAGCTGCCAAAACCCCTTTCCACCCGGAAGGGTTCCAGCAATCAGAACACGCCCTCCCAACCAGCCCTCGCTTCGTCATGTTGATCCGCACACAGGGACACTTCAATGCGTTTCGCAAGTCGGCTGACGCACCAGGGGATGCGTTCTCAGCACTGAAGGTTGGGCTGCTGTGCTGCAGGGAGGGCATCTTAATCTGCCTGGGGTGTCCGAGGCAGCAGTGAGACTCTGGAGATTGCGCTGTACTTACGGACTGGCTGAGTCTTGAAGATGGTGGGTTGGCTCTTGTCGCCCTCTCCCTTGCCGTTGATCGCTGACATCCTCACTTCGTAGCTCGTTTCGGGTTTGAGCCCCGAGATGACGATCGTGTTGTCATTGTAGCCTGCGGAAGACGAAAGGAGTCTTCAGCAGACAAATCACGGAGGCGAAAAAGTCCAAATTGAATTCATGTTGAACTTCAAAAGTGGATGGTCCTGAATAATTAATACAAACTTAAATCGACGGGAGCTCACAAGGCACTTGCATAGACACAAAGCTCAAAAAAGGCCTTTTTTCTTTCTTTTTTATAAAATTGGATTTTGTGACAACATTAGTTTTTGTCTGCCTTTTTGATTAAAACTGGTCATAGTGGTAAAGTGAGCTGGGAGCAAAAGTATGAATTATGACTTAACCCAGCCTTAGAACACGTGAAAGATTACAAATATGCCCATAAAGCCTGTTTAACGGTGAGTAGATAATTTATCTGAGGATCTCATCCAGCTGTTTCCTGATAGAAGCCAATACATGCATACAAAACTTTCCAGCACAATGAATGTCCTTCAGTAAATGGATGCTCACATTGAGAGCCGTTAGCTTTTTTTAGGATCTGTAACACTTACTGTACAAGTATAGATCTACAATCCTCTAAACAAAGTTCTGCTGTGTTGACAGCCTGGCTAGTAATGCCAGTAATCCTTTTCTTGCTTGCCCCCATGATAACAATTCCAGCTTGATCTCGAGATCCAGCATCTCTCCATGTGAATCCACAGCATCAATTGCACTCAGTGGTGCAGAACTGTAAAATAACTTTTATCTGCTCCAACTCTTCTTTGATGGAAAAGTGGAGCATGCAAACCGCTCTTTGAGAAAGATGTTGACGTACAGTAGCTGGGGGCGGAAACAGCAGATGAGAGCTGCCTATTATTTTGATTACATCGCAGACAAAGCAGATATTTTGGGACCCTTTCTGACAGGCAGGCAGATGATACGATTTGAGATTACAGACCCCACTGTAGTAGGCTGCTGCAAAATGCTCTTCTCTGAAACACAGCCTTGGGGCACAGAGTGACACACACTCCTGTCAATCTGACAGGGCCAAGTGTCAGAATTACAGTGACGTGAGACACACAGTACTTGGAGCAAGGCAGTAACTGAAGACCTGTTATTTATTTTCAAGTCTTTTTATTTAGTAGAGAAGTAATGAAACTTCATTTTGTTCACATCATTAATCACTATATTCAATTACTTCCCCCCAACCAACACTCTCTATTAGTCCAACAACTCTATGATTTTATATGAAAAATATCTGGAATTTACAAGATTTCTATAATGCCAACAGTTGTATTTACTTTTGAAAGTTGGATTTTTTTTATTTTCTAAATGTTTAATGTTGACAGTCACAGGATCTCTGATGGATTTAGGCAATGTCTTACATAGATTAAGGAAGGAGGGTACAGAGCACTTACTGTAACTGCTCATTTTCTTATTGGGCTGTGATTGATTAAATTCAACCATCGACTCAAGGACATACTTTTGTCTGAGTAAACATACAGGAATAAGGAATAAGGATGTTTTGAGTAAACATACAGGAATAAGGACCAACAGTACAAAATAAGTACAAAATTCCTCGAAAGTGTACAATTCTGAAGAGAGAAATCACACCACAAAAGCACTCTCATGGTTATGCAATCGTATTACAGCATTCTGTTAACCTGCTAAGCTGAGGCGCGGCAATCAGGCCATGAAGACAAGCAGTTACATAAACTCCCCTGTGGAGTGGAGTGCAAGAGGGCCTCAGTGTAATTAAGACCAGGAAGGATCAATGATCTATCTAGCTGTACAGCAGGTTTTAGGTTGGTTTATCTCCCGAAAGTATATTAAACTTCAATTTGACTGTAAAATAAAACATTCAAGAAAGAACAAGCATGAAATCGCAATTCAGCCCAGCATTCCAGTTCTCAGCCGATCCAACAACAGATAACGTGACCCTACCTGTATTTCCCACAATCCCACCTTGAAGGAACTCACCATCTTTGACTTCGTACTCTTTATGCATCCACTCGCTCAGGCCCACCACTCTCCATTCGGCCTTGTACTTGAGAATGGGGACGCCACCACTGGCGTCAGGCTCGTCAAAATCTATATGCGCTGAGCTGGAGTAAGGGTCTACTTCATTGATCACGGGGGCGGACGGAACCTCTAAAAGGGAAAAATGTTGTGGAGAAGGCTTGGCAGGCAGAACAGACCCTTGAAAACATTTACAGTGTAATACCACGGCAAGTGCAACATTAAGGTAATTAGTCTGATTGGCATCAGAGTAAAGTAAAAACAGAATGATGTAGTGAAGCAAAATGAAAACTTGGTCAAAGCGGAGTCATTTTTACTAGTAAAGTAGAAGTAGTTTTTGTTAGGAATGTAGTAGATTTTGTAGTACATTCTACAAATCCCATTGCTAACAAACTCTACTACAAACGTAGTAGTAGTAATAGTAGTAGTAGTAAAGACTAGTGAAATCACAGTAAAGCATGGTGAAGCAAGAAGAGGCTGTGAAAACAGCATGAACGAAACAGTGAGACACCATTGCAAAGCAAAGCAAGCACAGGATACAAGCATGTGAAAACCACAGAAATCCAATTACAGTGCAAAAATGCTCATAAGGGAATGCGCAAAAAAATTAGGCAACATAATATGCCAATACAATCAATATGAACACTAAATGCAGTTGACAGCAATGGAGAGCTGATTGACATCATCGGAATGAACCCAGACAGCATTTGTAAATATGAAGGACGAAAGCACAATTGATTCTGGGAATTTGTTAGGAATGGGAATTGTTGACTGGGAACTTAATGCAATTTGTGGACAGAATCACACGGATTGGAATAGACAGACATCCTCAAAATATGTATAACTTGTGTCAGACCTGTCTGTCTTAGTAAGACACTGAATTTGATCCCTTTTTTTTTTTTATTTATTTCTCCTTTCTTATTTGATTTCATTTTAAACTCAATTACTAAAGACCTACAACTCTTTACGTGGGATTCTATGCTAAGTAAGAATGGAGTCTCTCAACAACATTAATGTGAATCTTCAACATCACCAATGTATACTTTAATTGCTCATACACACTTGATAATTTATAAATGTCTTCGGATTTGACACAAAATTGAGGTTTGCTTACTGCTGCGAAATTTGAAGACAAAAAAACCATTTCAAAAGAACACACAAATACTGTATATTAATTCATGTTTAATATGTTTTGCTGGTGTTATGATTCACCCTAATTAGGAAAGACTTTATACTACATTAAAAGTTAACACCATATAAATAGTGCAGTTCTTACATTATCTAGCAAGTGTCAAGAATTTCAATTTCAAATTAAGGTTGTGCAGTCCGTGTAACAATATCAAGTAATGAGCACTGCAAATATGATATGTCAATTACTTACACTTTATTCTAGCCTGCCTTTGTTAATAAAGCAAAAGAATCATTATATTTTCTTTTAATAACTGCAATTTCTTATTGAATGCAATTTATTCAAAACTGCAACACACTGTGAGAAAACTGCAAGGTTGTTCCTATGGCTACTTCACTGTGCCTTACTACAGTTTCCCGACTGCTTAAACTTTACAGGTATATAGACATAATCTCATTGAATGTTTGGGTAACCTCTTATTTACAGTGTCCTCAAATGTCAATCATACCCCTCGTGAAGTAGGAACAATAAAAGGCTTTTCAGAGAACAATATAATATAAAGGAAGTCATATTTCTCATACAGTATATATAATCATAAAAGATTCACTTAGGTCCAGAAGCTCATGGGTCACATTTATTTACACCCCCTTGTCTTCAAAACTACTTTGTTTTATGGTCGGCCTTCAGATGACGCTGCCTCCTTTCAGTCCAGCTGTGAAAACCACACCAGTGCAAGCGAATCTGAACAGCATACGACTCTTTGCACCCTGAAGACGCCAGTGTGAGCTGGAGATCTCCAGTCGCCTTTGGCTTTCCAGTGGTCTCCCACGCCCCCTGTCTCACAGCCCACAGTAACAGGAGGCACTTGCCTCCTCTTCCTGGCAGAGTGGCCACTGTATTAGCCGGCTTTAATTATCCTAGTAATGCACACTACAGTGCAAAGTGCTCGATTCAGACTTTAGTGTATTCTTTTATTCCCACCTCCATTACTTGCAGAGAACAAGGATCTTTTACTTACAGTCTCCAATAGGCTATCTGACCATAACCACTATAACCATGACCATCACAATGCATGCTACTACTAATGTTTTCCATGCATTATCATCCTTTATAACCCAGAGGAAACAGTTAATTTTTGGAGGCCTCAATACAGGTCTGAAGGCATCCTCTGTACTTCCAAAGAAAGCAATGTAACTGCAGATTTGTTTTTGCTGAATTGTAATTGAAGGAATGATAGAGGTGTGAATAAATTAATGGCATGATAAATAAGAACAGCAGCAGTGATGATTTTGCACCGTGTGCCGCCCTGTCATCCCATACACCCGGCGGCACTGGTACTGACCTGCTTGAATGAGGAGGAATTCTCTTGACTCGGTGCCAATACGGTTGGTGGCTGTGCAATTGTAGCTGCCAAAGTCACTCTGAGACTCTGGAGTAACCTTCAATAAAACAGAGGCAAAAAGAGTTGTAAATTACAACTCGACTCTTCTTTGATTACAATTACAATAGTTTCAGTGCAAACTTACTGTAGGTACCTTAACCAAACTGGAGTTGTAATGTCTATATACTATGACAATGAAGTTAAAGCGTTTTCTATTATTGTAATAACCTTGTCCTTGATTACCACATCTCATTTTGGGCCATAAGAAACTCAGTTTGCCATGTAGTAATCTTTCATTCATACTGTTCATTTTCTTCAAAAACTTTGATTATAACAGCAACTGGTGAAAACAGCCACTATGAAGTGGTGTAGTAGCTAATCCTTCACAATTACCAGTCAAATCGAATTGACTCTTTATCGGGGGTTTGTCATTAAAATCATTTGTTCCACTCTACACATCCATTAAGCTAAAAATGCTAGTTTTCCTACAACAAAAGAGAGACACGTCAGAATTAACTGGTCACTTACAACCAAAATGGCTAAAAGTTCAGTATAAGATTACCAAGGAATTGTGCTCTTGCGAAAAGAAGTAAAAACACTTTGTGAAAAGAGTATAATAATGCAAAATGTCTATGACATTTGCACTGCAGTGTTAATAAAACATATGCACATAAGCATTTTTTTTAAAGTTTAAATATATTTGTTTTATTATTGAACCATCTAGTTTTGTCCTTCCACCAGTCTGGAAGAAACAAGGATGCTTCCCTGGAGACATCAAAGCTAAGTGCTCATTCCTCTCCTTAGTCACCAAACTGCCTGTCACTGCAAATCCCAATAGGCAAGACTGAGCTTAAATGACAACAAGGGAAAAGATAAGGCTTGCATTCGCACCATAAAGCCCTGGATATGACTGGCAAGACAAGTGTTCCCTAGCCGAGTCCAGTTTAGTATTGTTGTAGGGTGTCTCTGTTAAAGCTGGGGAGTTATAGTGCACGGCCTGAATGGGTACCAGTGGACAAATTAAAATGAACTCCTCTTGACATTTAGCCTTTTCCACCTGCCGGCCTGCAACTGCTAATCCACGGCTGGACCTTCGGACCGTCAGAAATATAATGTTTCGTAAAAAGCCACTCTCCAATGCAATTCGCACAACGAGGCAACTTGACATTTTGTTTCCTGTCAAAATAAGAGCTGTTCATGACCTTCGGCCAGTCACACTGCCTTTGAGGCAAAGGACAAAAAATGAACAATAATACTTTGCTAGTGTCGGGGATAACAGGTGCTTTTGGGAAAAACACAGAAAACAAAAACTGCATTTTAAAATGACATTTGGACATGTTGGCTTATTTTATTTAAACAGTAGGTACTTGGGACTTGGTGCTGAAAGGCAGCACTCTTAAAAATATCACTCTGATACTTCCAGGATGAGATAAGCTGTAGACTGCGGTCTGAACACTTAAGAAACACTTAGCAACTGTGATATAAGTGCACATCAGAACAATGCTCTTGGTCTTTCAGGAAGCAACAGCTGGAGGTCTTTCAGCATTGTGGCCATTAAAAGCAGTTTATGGAGGTTTATATCAAAGAAATGCAATAACAGATTACACATATACAGTTTAAAGGAACAGAGGTCCAAATTATTTCTCCAACTCCAAAATCTTGCAGCATTTGATATAAAAACTTTTTAGGGAACTTTTTTTTATATACCTAGAGTAATAGAGTTGGTCATGTACAGTAAATGGTTAAACATGACCAAAATCCTGTAAATCATAGGTACAGTCAGAAGTTACCACAGTATATGAGTGTCAGCAACTTACCAAAGTTCCCCACTACTGCTTTCTACTACACTAATAACCTTGACAATAATTAGTGTTTGGAAAAGAAGAAACTCAACTTGTTATTTGTGTCACTGTGAAGATTTAGCCATCTTTAATTCACATTAATCATAGCTCGAACACAACAACTCATGGTAAACTATAAATGGAGAGCCCATATGAAGTGTTGCAGTAGCTAATCCGTCACATTTACCAATAACTCGCTCTCTATATTAGCAACATTATTTGTTACTTTCTACAACCCCAAGATGCCAAAAGACTATGTTTAGGAAGACAAAGTACAGATCTAATTGGGATTAGCCTATCAATATTAAACTGGCTAAAAGTTCAATTAAATTGCCACAGAATTGTTTCCACGAAAGGAATAAAAATGTTTTGGCCACTGGGTCTGAACGGAAATGTACAACTGTATCCTTTGCAAAGGGCGAGAGTGAAACAAATACTGTACCTCCAGGAAGCTGGTGGAGGGGGTGTTGTAGATCTTGATGTTGCTTGCGTTAGAACTGGGGAGCTGCTGTCCATCTCTGAACCACACAACTGAGGCACTGGGGTGGGCGATGACATCACAGGTGATGTTGGCGGGATTCCCCTCCCACGTGTACGAGGTGACAGGGCCTTGGATCTTCGGCGCATCTGTGAATCACACGCACGCGTGCACCGTGTAATTTAATTTCCCTGTACCGCCACGGCGTGTGTCTTTCCAAGCCCCTGTCGTTTCTTATTAGCACGTTAGACACTAAGTATAGCGTAGCATTGATTTTTCTTTTAAACCGCGTCAGCATTCCTTCTAAAACATACTATTCTTCTATGCAGAGAGATAATAGAAATCTGAAGAAAAAAAAAGAAACATTTCATTTCCTTGATGCCGGCAATACAGTTTTGAACAAAAAGCAATGTTATTTTATCAGCAGTTTTTCCTTTGTCATCTTTGTTTTTCTTTTTTTTTCTCTCCTCGGCTTCGAGTACAGGCTGCTTTTTAATGAAATTACAATATTAAAAGAAAATGGTAAAAACTACAAAACATAATTCTCCATAAGGCCTTTTCCTCTCTATTTGCTTTCGACTCTAGCACAGCTGAATTGATGGGAGGAGACCTTTCAGCGTGTTTTGCATTTTTTTTCCCATGTGGACATTTTTCCTCTCGACATTTAGAATCCAGCATTTCCAGATATTCACATACAGTACTAAATAACAAGTATTACTATCTAATGAAGATATCATTTACAATTGTTTTTTTTAGTTGAGCTACAGTTGAGCTTCTCGAATGATCCAAGTGCGGAGGAGACTAGATTGTTGTAGTCAGCATGTACAATGAGCCTGTTGTACAATGAGACATCTAGTTCTTTGAATCAGATTTAAAATTGATATTCTGTCAGTTCTGGGAAAGTGGACAGACTATGCTTCTATTAGATTTAGTTTCTTGGAACTTATCCTATGAAGCAAACAGTTGCTTTCTGAGTGAAGCAAACATTTACAAAAAATGTGATATGTAATTAGTTGTAAGACAGAGGAACAGTTCAATAGTGCATAGAGCTCTATCAGCTATAAGACAAAACAGTTCAATAGTAACCTACATGTTTTACCATTCCCAGAAATACACAGCTATTGTCAAAAATGTTCAGCAGTGCCATCTATTCACAAAGAAATCCATAGTCAATTTGTTTCTCTATCTCTCAGAACAAAACAAGCTTAAATGCTGCCTCTAATCTACAAGCAGCATAACAGAATGATTTCATCTGTCAATTGTGGACCTTCAGTTTCAATTGTAACAAAACACCTTTTATCACTAATTACTCACTCTTTCCAAAACTAGATTACTGTGATCTTTAACATGGTCTAATTACAGCTCAAAACAATTTTGGGAATTACGTATTATGATGCTATCAAGTACAACAGCAAAGATTACTTTTGTTTCAGGGCTAAGGAAGTTAATCCAATTACACATTCATTGCTGGGAATATTTTTATTAATTCTTTCACTTATTTAAAATTTTCTAATAAGATCAAATGAAATCTATAAGCTCTAAAAATGCCATATGTCTATATTAATGCAAATTAAAAAAAATATATCTGCTTGCCCTTGACTACCACATGGTAAAACAGTTTTCAGATGAATCTGGGTTTTTCATCATCTATTGTATTGTATTCTGTCACTTAGAAAATGAAATCCATTTTCTATTTAAGAGCCAGGAAAGGGTAGCTAAAAATGAGCTACATGTACTGTAAAAAGACAAAAAATAAATCAGTTTGTAGCCCAATAATCAGATCTTTGTTTTCTTGCCATCTGTAAGATCTGAATATTGGGCCACAACCTGATGCTCTGTGGAGGTGTTTATGAATTAAAGTACCTGCTGAGTTTTTTTTTCCTTTGTATGATCTTACAGAATTTAAAAATAAAAGATGACTGAACAGGATGCCTTGATGGTGGGATATGTTTGTTATCTTTTAATCACACCTGAAGAAGGCTTCACAGCCAAAATGTTGTGTTTTTCTCTCTTCTCTTTTCAGCATGGAATAAGCCTACTGTATTACTTGTTCCTTTGCAGACTACGCATGTTGATGCAGCTACCCACCTGAACTATCTTTTAATCTCTACAACAAACATAAGCACTGGACACGGTACTACTTTTTGTGAGTGCAGATCTTGAAAGTCTTAGTTTATTTGAGCAGTTCTGTAGTTCGCACAGCTAAAAAAAACATCTGCTGCACTGTAGCGAAGTAGGTTTTAACTAGCATGCCAATGTTGGAAAAAAAATGATGGTAACAAAACTACAAGAAAAGCTTTGGCTCAAAACAACAACAAAAAAAACTCAGGCAGCTGATATGAAGACAAATCCGTGTGCAGCAATGATGGCAGCAGCCTAAATCCGCGGAAACACAGCCCCAAACCCCAAGAGGCTACAGACCTTATCCGTGTCTGAGCTAAATCTACATCAACGATCGAGAAACTTAGAAAAAACAAACCAAAAAACCAAACCAGCAGTCTTACAGTGAACTTCGAGGTACATGAACTGGGAATCTTGGCCAATGGAGTTCCTGGCTGTGCACAGGTACTGTCCCGCGTCTGTGAACTGGACGTACTTCAGGGTGAGGGAAGACACCCTGGCATCACTCCGCACCTCTATATTTCGATCCAAACTCTGCCAGGAAAGAGGAAGAGAATAAAAGGAGTTTAGCAGTTGTCCAGTCTCTTAGCTCAGTCAGCTCTTGTTATCTAGCGGGTTAAAAAAAAACATGACCATTTACACTTTAAAATAAGATTACATTCCTGATTCTTTGCCCCTAAAATACAATTATATCCTTCAGTCTGTTTCCCAGAGATCTAAACGGTTGTGAGGTTACACTGCACTGGTGTGAGGTTAAATAAAGCTATGTCTCAGTTTTAGAAAACAAAACTCCCTCTTTACCAATTTTAATTGAGATTTAACGGTTTCACAGAATTCAGCTGCTGTATTCAATGAACAAAAAACAAGAATGTTTTCAAGAAACAAATAAAAACACTGTCACAATATACAATGTTGTTAACTGTAGCTTCAAGTTGATAAAAATTCCTACCACACAAGATACTTTTTTATTTTTTTCAGATGCAAAAAGCATTTTCTATTTCCTGCTTTTTAAAAAAATATCTTTCTGATCTCTCTGTATTATAACCATGTCCCTCTATTGAGGCTGCATTTAAACTGATGTTCCTGGGTTGGGAAGCTGGAAAATGTACCTCTACACAAAAGCAAGTTTCATTTACTGATTTGCGAGGTTAGAATTTTTCTTTGAAATCATGAAAAGCTTTTACTATGTTTGATTGAGATATCCTATTCTATTTGACACACTCCTTCAACCTGTAGTACTTCGCTTTGACACAGATGTGTAGCTCAAAGCAATGATTCTACAAAAAGCAACATTATGCGCCACAATGAGCATTTCTGTGTTGAAGTCTAAGAGCTGTTGTGACATGAATTAAAGTCTGAATCAGCTTTTAGGTGAACAGCACAAAATGGACTGGACCTTTATTGGGGGCAACAAAATGGATTTTTACAATGTATTCCATCCAGCTGCAAATGCGATCAGTTCAACTCAGCACAATTGTGTTTTTGTACAGCTCTAATCTGGTTTGTGAGCAGAATACTACATGCCTTTCTTGCAATTTAAGAAACCTAATGCTCAGCATTCACATGATCTGCAGAGATAAAAGGGCATTTTTATTAATTCAGCATCTCACTTGGTCATATTTTAACACAGCATAACTATACATTACGCCACGTATGGACACAAATTGGAACAGTACACCAGCTGCATTCCAGCTCTAAGAGTTGTACTATCTGATGCACTTACTCAAGAAAGACCTACTCTGTCTTTCAAAAGGATGCTTCAGAGGCTGTGTTCTTGATATGTAGTGTGAGAACCTACACAAGAGTTTTGGGATTGTAAAATGCTTCGAAGAAGAGAGGTAGAACTTTAATCTTGACTCAGTTCAAAAGCTAATGTGTCAACAAAAAGAAGTCATTTTTAAGTGCACATTCTATTTTCACATTAAACGCAGAAACAGTAAGCTCACAAATATGCCCCCTACCAAGACAAAAAGAACTCTACATTTTTTAGCTCCTTTTTGGCATCTTTATTTTTGGTTTTGTCATATGAACAATTAAACTATAATTACTATAATAACCAACAGCACAGTAAACACTGTCATGAATAACATGCAAATGCGCAGCTGAATTGTTTCTCAATTCTGGTTATATTTATAAACACAATAGTATCTTGAAAGCGAATATATATATATTCAAATACAATTTAGTCTTAATTAAAGTTTTTGTCTCGCAAACAGATGGGATGGTATAATAAACAGAATTTTAATGAGTACTGGTTCTACGAATAGCCATATGATTTTTCCAATAAATATACCTTTAATATGTTTTGAAGAAAAAAATAGAAAAAATACTTTCCATTTTAAAATGTTACTGGGCTCTAGACCTAACTTAACTCTTTTTATTTTCATTCTGTACCTTTTCACTCAAATCTTTGTATTGGATTTGATCCAAACAAAAACCTGTGGTTTCCATAAACCGCAGACTTCATTTAATTCTCCTCTATACTTCTGCCCCAGGTTAAGTAATCAAAGTAGCTCCAAATTAGTTCATCAAGCAGAACTGAAGGCCTGTCTTACAGTGGATGAACACTTTGATACTTCAAAGGGTTTCTTCAAACAATTCATCATACAGTAACTGCCCACATATTTCAGCTTGCTTTTCTAGTATCTATGTTTTTTTTCACTAGCATTTTAAATCTTTTGTGTACAACAGAGGATTAAAAAACTTTGGAAACCTATGACAAAAGGTTTTATTCTGTTTTTATTCAATTATTTCTGTTTTACATTGTTTACAGCAGTCATGTACTTACTCTCTGCCACAATACTTTCTACTTCCAAAAAGAGTAGAAAAGGATTTACAGTTTTGTGAAAGAAATTAATTGATGTTAACACAGGCGTTAAAAACAGCAGAAGAGGATATCGCTGATACTCAGTAACTGCAAAACAACAAAATAAATGAAGCGATTCAGTCAGTTCTTTCACTTGGGAATCTGAAAATGCACAAAACTATAAAATCCATGCTGTTGACGAGGGAAAGAGAGAAAACGCCTTGAGCAATAGTATGAGAGGTGGTGTCGGCTTTGTGGAGTACATTTCTGAGAACACTCCATGCCTGAGACAACACCCTGATTGTGAGAGCTGCGGGGAAGAGAGAAGTGAAAAAGGGAAAGACCTGGAGAAGGAAGGTTATCTGGAGATCTTCCCTGGAAGGAGACTAATAGAAGATCTAAGATCTGTAATCCTGGAGGATGTCACAGGTGTCAGGTGGGTATCAGGCCAGTTTGAATGCCGACAAGGTCACAGGATATTGTCCATCCCTGTATTCTTTGTTTTATCCCTTCCTTCTTTTCTATTCCTTATGTTTTCAATTTAGTAAAATCCCGTTTGTTGGCAGTCCTCGTTATGAAGCCTGGGTGTCAGGTCTGTGGGTGTGGGTTGGACCCATGCAGACCTCAGGGTGAGCGCCCCCTACTTGCCCCACTAACACCTCTTCCAACAGCAACCTCAGTTTTTCCCAGCAGGACTCCCATCCAGGAACTGGCCAGGCTCACACCTGCTGAGCTTCACTTGGGTTGCCAATTATGAGTAGCAGGGTGATATGGCTCCCATATGTTATATGTGACCTAACTCTGTCTTCTACCCTCTCCTTCTCATTCAAATATGTTTAAGTGCATTCAGGATACATTTAGGGTTTGTAGTGACACATCTAACACATCTTCAACTATAATTTTCATCTACAGTATGCTTTCTGTCTGTGTCCTGAAAATCATTCATGATGACTAAAGACTTGTTTTTCAGTAGATGAATAAAATCTCCAGTTTTCTACATCACTGTGAAAAGCATGCAAAATACATAAAAGCACCGACTACTAAAAAAGTGGCATGTATTGGCACTTTACACTGCTTGCGCTAAGAATCTATGCGAAACCACACAGATGGTTCCAGATGGAGAGTGCTCCTGACTCTGTTACAGACATCCTCAGGGAGCCTCTACATGTGTTTGTGCCCTGCAGTGGAGTCTTTTTTGGTATACATGACTGAAGTGAAACTATACAAAGACGCCTTAGACAGCTCCCACTCAATAAGTATTCCCTGATTTCTGTCAATTATCATTTGCGTTTTTTACATGGGGATCTTACGGCAGCTAAAAAAAGTCAATTTTGCGGGGCTGAAGGGAGAACTGATTTTTTTTTTAAATCTCAGCTGGATATGTGCGAATGAATTAATCACACTTACACAAAGATTTACACCCAAAAGCTGTGTGCGAAAGCTCTCAGCTTGGAAATAACTTTTTTTTACACTTATTTACATAATTTTTATAGCTCCCTTATTTGTTTTGCTTTTTGCTGCTTCCTCGTACTTTTCCTGATAAAGCACTATACTTCACATTGTGACGGGTTTCTAATAATTCAGGAAAAATACTCTCCCTAAGACATACTGTATACAGTATGTATAAAACCACACATACAAACAAAATTAGCACATCAACAGAAAATAGTTAATGAGACAGTTAAACTGTCACCAAACTGCTCTCCATTACAAATATGCTGTGGTCTGCTTTTCAGAGCCTGCAAACAAGGAGATGTGGAGGATTGCTTCTAAATGACTTTTCGGGTTAAAAACAATTAATTCAAGTATGAAATGACCATAACCAAGCTGCACTGCACCCAGAAAGGCCAAACAGAGAGGAACAGTGGTCTCCTCTGAGAATTTGCTAGTTATTTCATGCAATAAATCATTCCCTTGACTAAAAACAAAAGATCTGACCTGCTGAGCACACAGAGAAGACAAACATGCTTACCCACTAAAAACATTGTTAAGCAAACACAGTGTCACACACTGCTATCTTCAGTAAATGTTTACTTTGGGATGTTTACCAGTTAGTCTATACTACATTACAGTAATAATTAAAAAAGAGTAAAGAAGAATATGATGGACCTACACACAGGAACCCTTAGTTAGCAGTTTCCATCCCTTGGTGGCAAGCCGTAAATTTAGAAAAGTACAGAACGTATGGTAGAGCAAAATAAAACCCTTTTAAGTCCGTTATGCGAAACGGCCATCTCAGGTGACAAATGTTTACAGTGTTCACGGCACAAGAAATAAATTTAGAAGAAAAGAGTGTTAGTGAAGCAGCAACCTGCGAGTCAGAGCTTATTCTGCTTTAACGCCCTACCATTTGCCGTGTTATGGTTTCCAGCAGTACGAGCCATAAAAAAAAACTGGAAAATGGAGTCATTTTAGACAGCATTCGCTCAATCAATCAATCGATCGATCAATCAATCGCTCGGTGGAATAACACCAGCCCTTGCCAGCTCTCTGCTACTGCTCTGAAAAACGGGCCGATCTTCTGAACTCCCGCTTTACTCACTGAGCTCCATCCCATACGCTACAGTGACCCCACCCCTTCGTTTGTCCTGTGCTGGTTTTTCATGCCTCTCAGCAGCGGGGTTTGACCCGGCTGTGCCTCTCTGTACTCCTCAAGAGACATGACTTCCACCTACACTGACCATCACTTCCTCAAGTTCTTGAGGTGAAGCTACCACAAAAACAACAG